ATGTATTGATATCCATATCCATGTTACATCATAACTACTTGAACATAATATGTACATATATATAACAATAATAAATGAATACAATAAAATATTTACAAATGTTGATCCAATAAACAATAAAGCAATCAGAAAGATCTACCTGCTCAGGTACAGTCATATCTTTGTAGATAACAAAATCAAGATGATACCTTTCTAAATAATAACTGTGTATCACTATCATATTCCTAATAAAGACACATATAAAAGTATTTTCATTCTCAATACCTGATATTACTTAAGTACTAATACATGTATTACTATAATATCCTGTCCAATTAGATTTCCATGTATTTATATGGTTTCTAGCAACCTTAAAATCTTTAGCTCATTTGTATTCATGAATTACATTCCTATACCATTAATACCACCTAGTGATGATTGTATAAGTACTTTACAATCATAGTATTTAATTTGTATATTCAGTAGGCTCTCACTACCTGAAATATACCAACACTACTTATAAGTCTCATTCAAAGGATGTGTTATCAACCATGAAGTTCTATAATAATTCTTCAAATAATGTTCATGGTGTTAACAATACTTATTGTTCTAGAAATTCTTCACCCAGAAATCTTTCTATCATAGATTTGATTTTGTTTACATAATTATAATTTTCACTAAAATTCTACCTTGTAGTAACAAACTTTAAATTCAATAGAAACATAGTTTACTTTAAAAGAACTTGGAAAGAACAATTTAAATTCATTATCATCACTCTCTTCATTAGCATTGTGATGACTTATTAATGTAATACATTTTAAAAGCAGGATTGTCCTAATGTTCTGACCAATCCGTATTCCTTAGTACACTTCAAGTGACTAAATTAAAATAAAATAAAATAAAATAAACTTGGGGTCATACTGCCCAGAAACTCTTATTCCTAGTCTGTGTCTAACAAACTCAGGGAAATCATAAAACAACTTAACAACGTATTCATTGGATACCATCATATCCAGAAACCTATTCTCCCTAGCCCATACCTTTATAGACTTTGGTCAAATATAATTGTGTACTATACTCATTCAATTCAATTCAATTCCTCTTGGATCTCTGAACTCTTATATCCAAGGCATTCTTAATGTATATAATTACTTAATATAAATCAATATAAATTATCCTTCCCTAGTTTTCTTCCTTATGTTACCATTGTTTGTTTTACTTCACCTCGATATAAACAAATTAATTATTATAATTTATCTATGAAATCCTATTGAACTCAATCTTTGTAGAATTAAGTAATTTTATCAACTTCATATTTTATCTACGTCTGATACTTCTCATTCTATGTATAGGTAATAATGTAATAGTTATTTTCATAATACTATCCTATCATAATTGTACTCCATGTGTTATATTGTTATAAGTACTCTCTTTTGGTATTAATACTTATAACTGTTAAATAACTTTTCATTGTCTGTTTTCTTCGTTAATATTTAGAAATTAATATTTATGTTAGTGTCAATCTTTTATTTCTTTGTAAGTCTGTTAATCTTCTGTATCGAATGAACTCTGTAGAATCTTCCATCACAGTTTGCAGATCAGATGAAAAGTCTCTTTCCAACAGTCGATGTCCAGTTGTCTGAAGGAATGCTTTCCTGATTTATTGCCACAAGGATCTGTCACGCTTTACCTACATTAAAACAAATAACATGTTCAGCATCAATACAATGGCTTACAATGTTTATATCTCATTATTATTACACAGTTTAACATTGAATTATATTGACTAGACAAAACATACTAATTTCTTCTCATGAGATCTACCATCTAGTGGTCATTACATTTATGCCATGTGATGTATAATCTTTCTGAACATTTTAATTTTCCAAACTTTTTATTACTCATACCTTATTAATCATACCCCCCTTTTAAACTGTTTAATAATCTGGAGGTATAACCTAATCACATATCAGATGTTACAACAAAATATTGTTTTCCACTATACTTTAGCTATACTAGCCATTTTGTCTTAACACTGGCACCATTTTGTCACATGAAACAAACTACAAAAACATATATTGTTTCCTTCATCAAATGTATTTGTAAATCTAGGTTTTATTCTATCAAAACTTGTGTCTTCTATGTAGTCAAAATATATGTATGTCCAGGCTTTGCAAAATATCAGTCATGACATTAAAATCTCATTCTCATGAATTAAATCAAAGATTTTAAATCAACCTCAGAAGTAACAACATTGTTTTTTCCTTCTGTAAAATGATTGGAGTTACTGTATAATCGCATACACCCAATATAACATTGCATGTTCCTAACTGCTACATTAGTGTATTTCATTCTGTCATATTTGCAAACTTGATGTAAATTTTTATTTCCATTAATTAACCTAATACTTTCTTATAACACACATAAAACAATGAAAAAACAGTTCAGACTAACAATTCATTAAAACAACAAACTAACATAGATCTCTATTCTTGTGCTGTTTTTAATTCTGGAATCAGCCTGTGCACATCTGTTGGCAGACATATCCATGCTCATTCCCTAAACTGATCATATCTCTTGAAGTTATCTGATTCTTATAACTTTCTGTGTTACACTGCATTGCTTGTCTGTCTCTTAATTTCGATTTAGCTAAAATTGCTTTTATTTGTCTGACTATCAGTTTGCAAGGAAAGGCCTTTATTGATTTATCTCCACATGTATTTTCTCTATCAAAATTTTCAATCAACATATTTAATTTTTCATTTGCTTTTGATTTGATATCTCGGATAAAATATCTGCAAGATCTTAAATAATGTTGTTTATTGCACCAAAAACAAATAACTTTAGGAGTTATATTCTGCCTTTGATTTGAACAAATTGGGAGGGGCTCAGCTGTCTGTATCACTCTACACTCTGTCCTAGAAGAAGAAGAAGGAGGAGGGCTGTAAAATCTGCACTTCTTCCTCTGCCTAAATCCACAAGTCATTTTAACCCCTTCATTATTGGTTTCCCTCCTTAAGTTATCCAAGAACAAAGCTACTTCTGTCAAAGTGCTTTTTTCTCTAGCTAACACAATTGCAGTTGGATCTAGATCTTGAAATTTTTTCACAAATTCATTAATTAACTGATCCTCAGAAAAATTAGCAACAAGTCTATATGCACTTTCAAATTTTACAAGAAAACTACATGCCATTTGAGTCGGCAGCCATATTTGAAATAGTCTATTCCTTTGTTCGTCATTTAGGCTATATTTGTCTAAATTTGACTCAAACATTTGAGCATTAGTAAATGCATCCATTGACGGGTCATAAACTGGAATACATTTCACAATTTTCATTAATTGTTCATGGATTTTCAAATTAAGTTTTGCAGCTCTGTCTTGAAATTTACATTTCTGCAAATCACTCTGTGAGGTTACATTTTCAGTATCAATTGGTTCTGGGATTAGATTCTGTGCCTGTATTTTTCTTGTATTAACACACACTAGCTTTACTTCATTTCTAAGATGTCAAATAAGATCATTTCTTAATTCAACTCTACCCTCTAGTTCACAGACTGTTTCTAACTGTTTACAGCATGTGCTCTCTGTTACTTTGTTACACTGTTCATTTAAATCTGATTTGTCTTCTGTTAACCCATACAAATCTTTTTCTTTATCTGCTAATTCTAAATTGTCTTGACCTGCATCTTGTTTACAAATCAATGCTTTGTAAGTACAGACTAGTTTCATAACATTTCTGATCTTTTTTTTTTTCTTATTAACAAACAATTTCTTGTCAATTTCACTATTGGCAATTTCACATTGTGTGTATAAAGATTGCCACAATACAGCATCTGAATAGCTGCTATTAAATGCAAACTGCAATTTACTTTTCTCTGCAATATCATTTATGAATTCCATGTTACTCACCAGATCAGTTATCTCTGTCTATTTCGTTGCTTCATCCACACAGCTGCGCAGTTCTGGACGCTTGATTCTGGACGCGTGCCAATCTCTGCCACGTGCTTGCTTCTAGAATTCACGTTGTATCTTGTGCTTTTTGTCTCAGTTGTAGAAAATAGTCTTGTACAGTCTTTGATTTGAAAACTTTCTTTTTCTTACAAACCACAGTTCTTCTATGACAGTCAGTCTAGATTCTTTTTTTCTCTTCAAGTTTGTTTTCCCAGTTCCAAAATAGCTTTGTAACTCGATTCTTCTCTCTCCCCCCTTGAAGTGGGAACAAAACTTGAATAGAAGACTGGCTGGCTAGCCAATGTAAAAAATGTAGATGAATGGATGTTCATGTAGAATCTTCTTAATTTATTCTTATCTTCAGTTGATTGATATATATACGTCTTTTGTATATATATTCTTGGGCCAAATGCTCGCCACAATAATATATGTCTATATTATTGAAAAGTAGTAATACGCAATCTGACTTACGGTTTCTTCAGGTTTATTCTTTGTTACTGATACATAATAAAACATAATAAATGTTACAGGATAGTGTACATTCAACAGCAGATGGTAATTGCTGGACTTCTTTTGGGAGAGTTACATCGTTGTACAGAGCCAAGCCAAGACCGAGAGACCTTGTGTCCCTCTGTTACTAACGTCAGCATATAACTCTAGCCATATAAGGACAAGACCCCCGAATCCACATTCCAGAGCTCTCGGACAAAGAAAGCCTTGTGACTTATTGATACCATCTGTTACTTATGTCAATCCACACATCCATATATATAATCAATAGAAACATAGAATATGCAATATTCTACAGTTCTGTACAATGGTATGAGCACTTCTCTCTTTCTACTGCTAATACTTCTCCCTATACAACCAAGCATTCTGCTAGCAATTCCTGCTGCCCTATTACATTGTCTGCCTACCTTTATATCATCTGAAATAATTACCCATAAATCCCTTTGCTCAGATGTTGAGGTTAGGACTCTATCAAATATTCTGTACTCTGCCCTTGGATCTTGTACTTATCCACATTAAATGGCAGTTGCCACAACTCTGACCATTTTTCTAGTTTACCTAAATCATTTGCCATTTGGCTTATCCCTCCTGGAACATCAACCCTGTTGCATATCTTAGTATCATCAGCAAAAAGACACCAAGACCTTCTGCAATATCACTAATAAAAGTATTAAAGAGAATGGGTCCAAGAACAGATCCCTGAGATATCCCACTGGTGACAAGCCCAAGCTTTGAATATACTCCATTGACTACAACCCTCTTTTGCCTGTCACTGAGCCACTGCCTTACCCATTCAAAAATATTGGAATCCAAACTTAAAGACTGCAGTTTATTGATAAGCCTTCTATGGGCAACAGTATTGAAAGCCTTACTGAAATCTAGATAAGCAATGTCTACTGCAACACCCTGATCTATTATTTTAGTTACCCAATCAAAAAAAAATCAATAAGATTAGTTTGGTATGATCTCCCTGAAGTAAACCCATGTTGTCTCTGATCTTGAAATCCATGTGATTTTAGATATTCAACAAGCCTATCCTTTAACAGGGTTTCCATTATTTTCTGAAGTAAGGCTTACTGGCCTATAGTTGCCCGACTCCTCCCTACTACCTTTCTTGTGAATGGGCACAATATTCGCTAACTTCCAATCTTCTGGGACTAATCCTGAGAACATTGATTGTTTAAATAAATCTGTTAATGGTTTTGCTAGTGTACCACTACGTTTTTTTAATAACTTTGGGTGTATTCCATCAGGTCCCACTGACTTATTTGTCTTTACGTTTGACAGTTGAAATAGAACCTCTTCCTCCGTAAACGCAAATGTAACAAATTACTCATTTGTCCATTTTCCTAACAGAGGCCCCTTTTCTTCATCTGTAAATACTGAACAAAAATATTAATTGAGGCAGTCAGCTAGACCTTTATCCTCTTCTACATACCTTCCTTTTTTGTTTTTGATCTCACTAATCCTTGTTTTCCTTTTCTCATTTATGTATCTAAAAATGTTTTGTCCCCCTTTTTTACTGACTGTGCTATTTTATCTTCTGTGTGTGATTTGGAAGCTCTTATAACTTGCTTAGCCTCTTTCTGCATAATCTTATAGATCTGTCCAAAGGAATTAATAAATTTGCCAAGAGTGGCCTTATAAAGAGAAAACAAAAAGGGACCAAGTCTTGGCAGCTCCAACCAAGAGAGGACAAGGAGAGGAGGTGTTTTAGAAAAGGAGACACAGAATGAATGTTGGGATTGATAGGAGGAGAACCACGAGATTACAGTGTTTTTGTTGACTTTTAGTAGAATCTGTTCTTTCCCTTTTAATATTCCCTGTGCTACTGGTAGCAACAAAATTCTCAAGCTTAATAGATCAACCCTTTGCACAGTCAGCAGGTGTACTTTTTTTTATCAAATGCTTATCTTTTTTTCTTTAAACATACATATGGTGATTGTAACAAAATGTATGTTTATTTTACTTCATCAGTCCACATCGCTTGGTTCCAAAATGCCTTTGGCCTATCTATGGTTTGTGTGGAATCTTTCAAACATGCCATTTTGTGATGAGATCACAATTAAGGTTTCCTTCTGTTGACCTTTCCATGCAAACCATTTATATATATTTTCAAAGTTCACCATTGGATCTTCCTGCAAGTTCTTTGCAGTGTTATGGGCTTTTGTTTCACTTTCTTTTACAACTTGAAGTTTATTCGTGTTTTGGTTTAGTCAATTACATATCACAAAACAGTATGGGTGGGGTAATGGGATACAAAAGATAAAGGGAGGGGTGCAGGGTACAAGTTGCAGGTTACAGCGGTTGGTTTGTTAGCTTTATTACACATTTTACACTTTTTACACTTTTTGATGCGTCACATAGTTCTACCCTTGTTTTGGTCTGTTTTAGTTTCGGGTACTAGAGTCCTTTTGGGTGAAGGTATTTTGTTGCGTACCTGGCCAGATTACTAATTGTCTCGTTTCCCGGTGGTGTTTGTGCCTTGTTATTAGGTTGCGGTTATTCTTTTTTTTTTTTTTTTTCCTCTCTTCCCCCCTCTCCTGTGATTACATGTTGATGTTCGATACTTCGCTATGTATCCTTTACTGTGTGGTGCGTTCAGCATTCCCTGGCATGGATGATTGGAAGGGGGACGGGGGGGGGAAGAGGGGGCTGGTGTTATATCTTGTTACTCGTTTGCGGGTTTTTTGCCTTTTTCCCACATCTCGTGGGCTTCCCTTATACACGGGCGGGTTCCGAATTGTGTCGTTGCCATTAACTCATAAGACCAATTAAGGTCCATTTGCCTCATCAACTCGGCTATTGATGGTGTTGTGGTTTGTTTCCATAGCCTAGATATCAGCAAGTTCGCTGATATTAGTGTGTGGTATATAATGATTTTAAGATGTTTTGGGATGTTGGTTGGTAGCATGAATAATAGGCATTCTTGTGGTGTGTCTACCCTTATATTATGCGTTATGTCGTTCAGGAGTGTGGACACCGCTTCCCAAAATGGGCTTATTTTGTCACAGGACCACCAGATGTGAAGCATCGTGCCCACCTCCCCCCCGCACCTCCAGCACTTGTTACTTGTGTGCGGCCATATGGCATGTAGTTTTGCGGGCACTAGGTACCATCGGTACATAATTTTGCGTTGCAGTTCCAAATGCGATGCGCACGCTGTTAGTCCTCTGTGGACCGATTAGGACCTCTCCCAGATTTCCCTTGGGAATGTCTGACCTATTTCCCTGTGCCAGTCTCTCTTGATCTGTTCTAGTGTATGCGCTTGTGTTAGGGTTAACTTATGGTATCCCCATGACATTGATTTCTTTAGTGGTGCTATTCCTACACATTGTTTTTCAAAAACCGTCATGGTTGCTTCATCTTCTATACCCGGTTGTTTGCTTAGTTTGCCTGTTATATATGATTTAAGTTGCAGGTAGGAAAATGCGATTGTGGTGGGCAGTGTGTATTCCGTTTGTATATCTGGTAGTGTTTTCAGTTTGCCTCTGTCAATGACCTGGTATATGTGGTGTATTCCCCCTCTCTTCCAGGTGTCTTCACGGAATGTAGGTATTTCCATGCCTATTGTTTGTATTGGTGTGGCCAGGGGTAATTTGGGGTTGGACACCAAATTGTTTCTCATTGTGTTCCATACCCTCATCAAGTTCTGTGTGCTGGGTAGCAGGTTTTCTCTTATGTGTTTGGGGCACTTCTGTAGCCATAATATCGCCCTGAGGTTGTGTTGTGGGGCCCAGTGGGATTCTATTGCTACCCACTGCGGGGCTTGGGCCGGGCGGTTAATTTGGGCTATGTTGTGTAGATAAGCTGCCCTACAGTACGTTGTTAGGTTTGGCAGACCCAGCCCGCCTTTGCTCACTGTTTGGTGTAGTGTTCCTGCTGCTACTCGTACCTTTTTCCCTTCCCAGACGAATGTGCTTAATGAGTGTTGTACGCTTTCGGGACGGGTATTTGTAGTGTTCTAAATAGGTACTGGATTTTAGGTATGAGTGTCATCTTTACCGCTGCTATGCGGCCTGTCCACGAAAGAAATTTACCTCTCCATTTTTGTATGGTGTCTATGATTTCTGTTTGTATGCGCTCGTAGTTTAGTTTAAAAAGGTGTGCTGGGTTTTTGGATAGCTTAAGTCCCAGAAACGTCAAGTAGTCATTTCTCCAGTCCAGCGGGAATGCCGTCTGTAACCTGCCCAATAGGTCCGCGTTAAGTCCTATCCCTAGAGCTTGCGTCTTGGTGATATTCAGCTTGTAGTACGAGACCTCCCCATATTCACGTATTTGTGTCATTAAATTTGGCAGGGATGTGAGGGGGTGTGTGATCGTTACAAGGATGTCGTCTGCAAAAAGGTTGAGTGTATACTCTCTGTCTCCCAGGGTTATACCCTTTATGGACCGGTTTGCTCTTATCGCTGCTGCCAGTGGCTCCAGCGCTAGGATGTACAATAGCGGGGATAGGGGGCAGCCCTGTCGAGAGCCATTGGTTATTGTGATGTGTTTAGATATAAACCCTGCATTGAGTACTCTAGCTGTGGGGTGGGAGTACAATGCCTGTACTGCCCTCAGGAATCCCTGGGGGAACTTGTATTTTTGGAGTACAGCTTGCAGGAAAGACCAGTTTAGACGGTCAAACGCCTTTTCCGCATCCAGGGATAGGAGGACCCCCCCCCCGGCTACGGAGTAAGCACTGCATTAGGTCCACTACTTTTCTTGTATTGTCCGACCCTTGTCGCCCAGTGGTGAAGCCCACTTGATCGTCATGTATTAATGTGGGGATGATGTGGGTCAGTCTAGTGGCTAGGATTTTAGCATATAGTTTAGTGTCAGTGTTGAGCAATGAAATTGGTCTAAAGTTTTGACTGCAGGTGGGGGGTTTTCCTGGTTTGGGTAGAGTGACTATGTGGGCCCCCAGCATTTCCGCAGGTGCCTCTCCTTTTTGGGTTGCTGCGTTAAACAGGTGTGCCAGGTGTGGCGCTAGTATTCCCGCATATTTCTTATAATATGTGTTCGTAAGACCGTCAGGGCCGGGTGCTTTCCCGGGGGGTAAGCGTGTGATGGCTTGCAGGACTTCCGTTGTGGTGATGGGGACTTGTAGGGATTCTATTTGCTCCTCCGATAGAGAGGGTAGGGTTATGTTGTCCAAGTAGCGCTCTATGTGTCCAGGAGTTGGATGTGTTGTGTTAGGGTCTTGCTTTATATTGTACAGTGTCGTGTAGTATTCGGCAAAAATGTCGCTTATTTCTTTTGGTGTCACTTTTTTTTCCCCGTGTGAGTTCAGCAGGTATGGGATTTTTGCCTTTATGCTTTGTTGTGTTAGTCGTCTGGCTAAAAGTTTGCTTGCCCTGTTCCCCTGTGTGTATTGTGTTGCTTTGAGTTTCCTAAGGCTAAATCCCATCTTCGCCAGGTCATGTGTCTTGATTTCCTCTAACTTTTCTTGTATTAGTGTTTTTAACAGCGGTGTTGGGGTCAATTGGTTTTGCTTATTAAGGCGGTAGAGGGCTGTCAAGTGTTCCTTTAGTTTTGCTTGTGATTTCTGCTTTAACGCGCTGGTTTTCCCTATGATCAATCCTCTGATTACTGGTTTATGTGCTAGCCATAGGGTTTCAGGGGAGGTGTCTGGGTGTGTGTTCGTCTTAAAGTACTGCTTAATCTCTTCGGCTAATTGCTCGCCGAACTGCTCGTTGTGTAGTATCGATTCGTTGAGCCGCCAGGGGCTGCGATGCTTATATTCATAAGCGTCATGTAGTTCTAAGGTGACAGGGGCGTGGTCTGACCACGTGATGGTGCCTATGGAGCAATCCTTTAGTTGGTTGAGGAATGTGCCTTTTATGTAAAACCCATCTATGCGTGAGTAAGTGTTGTGCGCTTGGGAGAAGAAAGTGAAGTCTCTCTCCTCCGGGTGCAGCACTCTCCATGCATCATACAAATCGTGCGCACTCATCAGTCGTGTTAGAGGTTTGCATTCCCGCGTCAGTGTTACCGCTCTAGGTGTGTGGGTTGGGACCGACGTGTCCCATCGTGGGTCCAGAATATGATTCATGTCCCCACATATGAAAGTGATTCCCCTTTGTAGGTGTGCTAGCTGTGTGAGCAATTTATGTAAGAAGTTTCTTTGGTTTGTGTTTGGTGCGTATATGTTGATTATCGTGTATTCCGCGTTGTTAATTTCGCAGACCAATATTATGTATCGCCCTTGATTGTCTACGTGTTCATATATCAGCTTAAAGGACACATCCTTACTGATTAGGACTGACACCCCCCTTGTTTTGGACGTATAGGTGCTATGGTACTGCGTGGGGAAGTATGCCTGCGCTATGGTCGTCGTCTGCTTGAGGTGAGTTTCTTGTAGGCATACCACATCTGGGCGTACTCTGCGCAGATCCCGGACTAGGCAGTGTCTTTTGACTGGGATGTTTAACCCTTTTACGTTATGGCAATATATTTTCATGTTTTATGGGGTATATTGCTGTTTGGCAATGCGGACCTATATCTGGCTGGGTTCTCCCTGTATTCCTTCCTACTCTCCCGTTAGCCCTGAGACTGTACTTTTGTGTCGTGTCTTTGCCGCCCCTGGTCCAATCGGCCGACTGGGTTTCCTGCGGTTTCCCCTGCGTGCTTGTGTTCCCTCTTTGCTGCCCATGCTCTTCAGCTTTGTTCAGTACCCTGGGTTTTAGTACCCTACTGGTGGGGGTGGGATGAGTGGGGTGGGTTGGACGGTGATGAACACTAACGTAACAGGTGTTCATAACAAACAAATGAAGCATTACATCAATCAACATATATACAAGAACAATAACAATTATTTGCATTTCCCAATGTAGGATTGGGCACCAGCTAAATAGTGCCGTGTGTGGACGTGGTTGCCTTGTGTGTTTCTGTGGGTAAGGGTTTATGTGTGAGCTTGCTGAGCCCGATATTTGCTGTCATGTTTCTTTAGGCAGCTGTACTTTAACTGCCCTGGTGTAGGACCTGGTAATGCCTAATTATGGTGTGCATCATAATGGCAGTATACTTCTCCTTTCGTGGATTTTTTTTTTTTTTTTTTGCGCAACACATTTGTGTCTCTTTCTTGTCCTGAGTGGTGTGCTTTGTAATATCTCTGCCCTCTCGGTGGGCAAAAGTGTTTTTTTTTTTTAAGATTTTCCCCGTGTTTGTTCCCTGTCGCCTGTGTGTCTGTCGTGTGTGCGTGGGTATCTAGCATTGTGTATACGACTCCGTGGTGTGGTGCAATGTCTATTATACTTGCGGCCGAGTTGTTGCCCGTCCGTGGCCAGGACTGCGGACTGTTGTACTTCACAGTCTTTATTGTAATTGTTCAGTTCATTTCTTGGTTCTTTTCCATTCCGGGGATAGCCTGGCTGGTGCGGCCATATTCTTCCCCACCGGGTTCACTGGGATGTTCCAGTTGCGCAGGATTCTCCGTCCCTCTTCAGGTGTGTTGGCTGCCGTCACCGTACCATTTCTCCGTATCAGCAGACGGATCGGATATCCCCATCTGTATTGGACGTTGTTCTGGCGCAGTGCTTCCGTGACGTCTTTAAATTCTTTTCTCTTTTGCAGCGTGGCTGCTGACAGGTCTGTGAAGAGTTTGATGTTTTTGTATTTCTGTGGCAGATCACGACCCCCTCTCGTAGCTTGGAGTAGTGCCTCCTTCACGTGGAAATAGTGTAGGTGTGTGAGCACATCCCTAGGGGTGTCTTGTGGTAGGAACGTTGGCTTCTGTACTCTGTGGTATCTGTCTAGGAGCAGTACCTCAGCAGGTAAATCTGGCGCCAATTCTTTAAAATATCCGATCAGGAATGCATGCAGGTCTGGCTGCTTCACCTCTTCTGGGATACCCCGGATCCGCAGGTTCTGGCGTCTAGAGCGGTCCTCCAGGTCCATGACCTTGCGCTGTGTGTATTCCAGTTGCTGTTGCATATGCTGCACTTGGTCTGCCACATCATTGTGTGCAGCAGTCTGATCTTCCATCTTTTGTTCCACGTGTGTCATCCTGTCTCCCAGCTCCTGCACATCTCTGCGGAGCTCTTTCAGAGTGCTCTGTAAGGAGGTTAGGATTTTGGTGGACATATCCTCTAGGCAGTTTTGCAGAAAATCTTGTGTGACCGGTAGATTTTGCGGCCCAGGGGAGGACTGTAGTGGCACTGTGTCGTTCCCGCCGTCGCCATCTTGGTCTCCGTCTGTGAGGCCTGCGGCTTTAGGCGTCGACGCTCTGGCTGCAAAAAAAACGGAACGGTCCGCTTTTTCGCCCTGCTTCTTCTTGGTTGTGTTAGCCATGTTGCCAGGTCGCAGGTGGGTCTGTGGGAGCTGATTAATGCTTTTATCTTTGCTTTGTCGGGCCAGCGTTATGCGGAGCTCAGATCCGAGCGACCATCCGCGTTGCTCGTTAGGCCACGCCCCCTTGTTTCACTTTCTTGACCAGATAACAAGCAGTTTTATTGGAGAGTTTCATTCTATTCTGGATTGTGCCTCAACTTAAACTGTTCCTGTTAACATTCCGTTCTTAATAATATTTCATTCGGTCTTATGGTCTTGTTCTTTTTTTTTTTATTTAGAACAAATATATAGCTTGAGGTTGCGTAAAAGGGAAGATAAAAAATTCCCTATTCCGCAACCTCAAGCTATATGTTTGTTCTAATTCTCAGTAGTACCTTTAAAGGTAACCTACTGAGGACTGCTGCCTTTTAAGATTTTTGTTTTAATTTTTATCCTTTTTTTATCCCTCCCCTTTACTAAATTTGCACTTACACCCACATCTATTTTATATTATCCTTTTTTTATTTTATATTCTATGCATAAAAAAATGTTCTAAACCGCATATCCATGGTTGCTTAAAGGGACACTATAGTCACCAGAACAATTACAGCTTATTGTATTTGTTCCGGTGAGTATAATCAATCCCTTCTGGCTTTTTGCAGTAAACACTGTCTTTTCGAGTCGCATGTTCTTTTTTTTAAAAATAATTTTCTTAACAATTCAACTTTTGTAAATACAATCTTGACTTACTGTCTTTTCAGAGAAAAGGCAGTGTTTACATTACAGCCTAGGGATACCTTCACTGGCCACTCCTCAGATGGTTACTAGAGCTGCTTCCTTGGGCAGTGCTCATAACTGCTGGCCCATGTAACCCTTCCTGTTGCCCAATAAATACACAACGGCTGGATAAGGGCAACGGCCACAGCTTCAACCTTTGAACCAGCATTAACTTATATCAGTTGATGGGGCTGATTCTTCCACCAGACAGATATCACTTTCTGTTCCCAGAGTCCAAAGCAGCCTGCGACTACCCAATCTGAATTGGCACTTGCCTTCAGGCTGCGACTACCCGATCTGAAATTGCACTTGCCTTCACATGCGCTGGCCAGGTTTCCCGCTGTGACAAAAACAAAACAGAAACAACAAGACACAGAAAAACCACCACAACCACCACCAAACCATAAACAACGCACATTGCAATATCAAAGGGAAGGTGGGCGGGAAAGAGCTCCTGTCAATTACACTCCTTCCTTTTATCTGTACCCATTCTTGCAACATTGTTTCCCTCTTTGATCCCAACTCCTTCCATGGGCAGCAGTCATGCTTCCCTTCCTTGGCAGTACAGGAGACACTGAACGTTCCCCACAGAGATGCATATCTATGAGGAGATGCTGATTGGCCAGGGCTGTGTTTGACTTTTGGTGGCTCTGCCCCAATCTACCTCCTTGACATTCTCAGACAATCCAGTGCTTTACTATGGCTGAGTTCATCACTTCTGATTATGTCGGCCAAGGAGGCAGACCAAGTGCAGAGCCAGCCACAGCAGACAGGAATAAAGGTAAGATGTTACTCTATTTAGAGACAAGCCAGGGGGGCAGGATAGTTTTTAACACTATAGGGTCAGGAATACAGGTTTGTGTTCCTGACCCTATAGTGTTCCTTTAATATCAAATAGTTGTGAATGTATCGCAAAATAGATAATGGAAGAATACAAAATAGAACATAATAAAATTGACTAAATGTGGCTTGCAGACTTGCAAATGTGGCTTGCAAAAAAAAGTCCAGCATTGTAAATACATACATATATTTATAACAATGGAGTGTTAAATAGTTGATTTAGATTTCTGCCCCCACTACCTCGCAGGAGGACAGCAGAGTCAGCCTGCAGCTGGAGGAGCTGGTAAAAGGTAAGAAGAAGGGAGAGATATTAAGTTGTTTTTTTCACATCTCACCCACTTACACACAGCATAGACCCTACACACCCTTCACACACACTACACCCCTCACACACACACACACACACACACTGCCCACTCACACACACTGTCCCCCTCACAAACACACACACACAGTGCAAACCTCACACACATAATGACACCCTCTAACACACATTGCACCTCAGACACATACACATTGCACCCCTCACACACACTGTACGCCTCACACACACACAGCATGCTTCACACATACACAGCTCCTTTCACACACACACACACAGCACCTCTCACACACACTGCACCCCTCACAAACACACACAGTTCACTCACTACAGACACTGCCCCCCTCACACCCACTGCCCCCAACACATACTGTCAATTCTGCCTCCTCACCCACTGTCATCCTTACACACACACTGCCTCCCCTCACACACACAGCAACTCTCTCACACACACCTCACCCCTCACATACACTGCATCCTTCATACACACTGCATCCTTCACACACATAGCACCCTTCACAAACACTGACCCCTCATACACACTGTACCTCTCACACACACTGCACCCTTCACAAACACACACTGCACCCCTCACACACACAGCACCCTCACCCTTCACACATACACACACACACACACACACTACACCCTTTATACCCTTCACAAACACAGCAAAAAAATAAGTAGAATAGAAAACAGAAAAAAAGGAAAAAGATAATTAAATGTAAGTACGTATTAAAACCCCCAAACCCTCCTTTCTAAAAAAATAAATAAAAAAAGTGCACATGTGCTATTAAATTAGTTATTAGGCACTGCTGGGTGGTGAGAAAATTTTACCATCAACAAAGATACAAAAGTGGGTGGTAGGTATTAAAAGATTGACTACCCCTGATCTACACTCATTTCACAGTTCATTTTCTTATAATTACTCATGAAAGAGGAGGAGCCACATATTAGTTAATGCTACAACAGTATTAAATCAGGAAAAGAAAATTGTTGAGTATGGATTAATTTAAGTTTTTTCGAGTCGCATATTCTTTTTTTTTTGTTTTATAATTTTCTTAACAATTCAACTTTTGTAAATACAATCTTGACTTACCATACATGAAAACAACACACATACACATAATGTATTAGATAATTATCTTTAATCTTTTCGGTAACCAAAATTATTATTATATGGTAACAAATAAAAGTTGAAGTTAGGGAAAAAAAGAGTATAAGAAATATTATGGTGCTACCATCACCTAGTGTGAATGACTCTAACACACAAAAGTTAATACAGTGCCAATAAAAATAAGTTTTTATTGGATCCTGCATTCTGGATTAATTATACAGACTACATCCAGGGAGGATTCATCTATACCAATACAGAACGTCGTGCTTAAAAGGGTTCATCTCCGTTACAAGTTCATAGTCTGAGTTAGCTTTTTAAAGTGACTCAGAAGCATGTGAGTTTAACCAGTTACATATGGTCATTGTATATATTTATGACAATATTACCCTATGGTTCTCTTTATGTCTTGTCATTTTAGATACATGCTCAAGACAGTACTGGTCAACGTTCTATTCTGCATGCATTGAGTGCTCTCACCATTATTTTTATTTGCACAAAATTATTATTACATTGTTAGACAACACAGTAGGATTCAAACAAAACAGACCTATTTATCTTTGTCAATGCACTGAACTTTAGCATCAAATTTAACATCGAGGAATTTGTTCAAAGCTTTCAAAGCACGTTCTGGAAGAAAGCTGTAAAATAAAATAAATGCATATCTAGTTAGTTCTACATAAGAATTTCAGCAGTAACTTTGATTTGTTATGTTGTATTAGTTAAATCAAAACAACACAACTTTTATCTCAATTGGTAATCCTGTATGAATTTTTTTTTTAAAATGTTTGCACTTACAACTCAAAAACTGCTGTTGCAGATATAAAAGGTGGAATAAATATAATCTTCTTGTTAGTCAAAATACCATCCACCAGATTCTTTGCAACATCTTCCGGCTCCAATACTGGAGAGAATCTATAATGAAAGGAAAATAAGGATAATAAAAAACAGTGTCTAAATTGGAAAACAACTTGACACACAGATACACACTAGCACACAGATACACACACTGACAGATACACATTAACACATACACACACTGACACACAGATACATACACACACACACATACACACACACTGTGTGTCAAGGTGTGTGTATCTGAGTCGGTGTGTGTATCTTTGTACCAGTGTGTGTATCTGTGTGCCTGTGTGTGTATGTGTTAATGTGTATCTGTCAGTGTGTGTATTTGTGTGCTAGTGTGTATCTGTGTGTCAAGTTGTGTATGTCTGTATGTATGTGCCAGTGTGTATCTGTGTTTGTATGTGCCAGTTTGTGTCTCTGTGTCAAGGTGTGTGTATCTGTATTTGTTTGTGCTGGTGTGTGTATCTGTGTGTCAAGGTGTGTGTATCTGTGTCAGTGTGTGTATCTGTGTTTGTGTGTATATGACTGTGTATGTGTCCATTTGTTTCGGTTTGGTAATATGTAAGTATGTATGTGGAAATGCATGTACAGACATCCCAGCAATCAAAGACCAACGCAACTCCTGCAATCAAAGACACGCCTGCAAACACAAACATGACATAAAAAGACACCCCCGAACTCTAACTCCAAAATGATATACAAACACTCAAACACCAATACTACACACAAATGTACATCCACATTTAAAATCAAACACTGCATCCAAATACACCTCTGCACGAAAATGCTAACATTCCATACAAACACATCCCTGTATTAAAACGATAAAATTACATAAAAACACCAACTCTACACACAAAAACACACCTGCTACAGAGGCGGAGCCAAACGTCCAAGCTCAGCGGCCGCATCCACCGCAAGCTCAGCAATACTGAGCACTAAAAACCCACATTGCCCGCAGCAATCTCTTGATTTGCTACCCGAGATGAAGAGAAAGTAGCATGGGTCGCAAGACGAAAAAGCAAAAAGTTGACAAGCCCCGGATGGCCTCAAACATCAGCGATATGTGGAGACAGGCGCGTGGCAGGGCTGGGCCCAAGATGGCCGCTTACCCTGACACGTACTCTGTCTGGCAACCTGTCCCTCGAGGAGGAGATGGAGGAAATACCCACCACGTGTCCACCCCCTCCGGCCCTACTGTCTCCAGACACATCTCCGGTGACCACTGCAGTTCTCTCCAGAGAAATATGCTCACTGACATTAGAGCATATTTACAAGGCCTGAAAGGATGGATTGGGGAACTTGAGACTGCCTCCAACACCAACACACAACAGATAACCACACTACAGCAGGCAGTACAAAAGCTGCAGCAACAACAGGAATCCTATAATCAGCGTTTCTCCATGATGGAAGATATTTGACGCAGAAACTATTTGAAAATAAGAGGCATTCCAGAGGACAGAGATTCTGCAGTGCCTAATGCTGGCTCTAGAAGCGGTTGGGCTAGATGGTCATTTCCGAGTACCAAAATCACCAAGAGCTCCTGCTGAGGTACCACGAGACCTAGTGGTTCAATTTCAAAACATCAGAGACAAGGCTGTGTTGATGGCTGCAGTGAAGGAAAGTACGCCCTACAACATTGAGACAATGTGTCTGACATTCTACACTGATATCTCGGGTGGCACGCTGGCAAGGAGGTGCACCCTTCAACCATTTACCTCCCTGCTCAGGAAAAATAGAATCCAATACTTACGGAACATATCCCACAAACTCCAGGTACTCTGAGATGGAGACAGCACTTCTACCAGTTTTGGGACTTTCTCGGGACTCTATGCCACAACCCCGGCCACTTGCCCCACCGCAGAGATGGAACTCAGAGACAGCAACAGAGTTTGCCTGCGGTAACCCTCTAAGGCATCATATGCTGCAATCACAACCTGAATACCTACTGGATAATGTTTAGTTTAAAAAAGTTTATGTTTTACAGTTTTTATGTTTAGTACATACAACACCTCTAACCAGCTCGGACGGCCTACTGGCCAACTAAACCCCTTCCCCCGCCTACTAGACATCCCTAGCTGATACTTATTAGAGCTACAGTTCACTAGGCGTAAATTTCCTCACCACTTGTCACATGACGGTGTAGGTGAAGGTGCATTGGGCAAGCCCAGCGCAAGCTCCGTATGACTGGCAGCTATCCTTCACTGACGACCCAGACAAGCCAAAGTCAGAAGACAGCAAGAGACATGTCTCGATACCACGACATCTCTCATACACAATTTTCCCTTAAGGGGGACGCCACTCCACTTTTGGTAACATTCTTACTTCTGGCGCAGCCTTACCCCCATTCAGCAGACAGCATCTAATACTCTTACAGGCCTTAACCCACACTGGCTCTCTACATTACTTCCTTGGAATCAAACCTTGACCAACATACTGATATAATCGAGTTTCACATAAGGCCAGACACATGACTGATTATGTAGTTGACTTGTACCTCTATAAAATATAAAACACAACTCACAGGTTAATTTTTCAGGACACTGCAAGTGGGAATCCCGGGCCACACATTGGAGCTCCTGCAGACTTCCTTCACCCTAGATTGGAGGAAGGACTATATCTCCTTCCTAGGGGTCAAACTTACCAAGAACCCTACAGGCTTACTCTCAGCTAACTATGACCTACTATTGCGGGACCGGACAGATACCATAAAAAGACGGGAAGGCAAATTTCTATCCTGGCTCGGCAGACTGGCAGCGGTTAAGATGATCTTATTACCGAAGTTCCACTATCTAATTAAGACACTGCAAATCCACCTACCGAAAGCTTATCTAGGCAAACTGAAGAGGCTCTTTACAGGCTTTATATGGGCCCATTGTAAAGTTAGAGTGGCGACCAGGGTTGCAAGCATCTGGCAAAGGCAGGCTTGAGTTTGCCCGATGTCCGACTCTTCTATAGGGCAGCCATTCTTGCCACTGTGGTTCAGACCCATGTAATGACTGCCACACCACAATGGGTAGAGATGGAATCCTCTTGGACATGTCCTAGAGGCCTAAAATACCTATTCTGGGTACCCCACACACAAAGACCAGGAAACCCAGACATGCCACAAACCACGGCATTACTTCTTAAAACATGGGAAAAGGCTAGAACAATTATGGGATACACACGAAGCTGGGCACGGGCCACCCCTCTGTACAGTATACACATAGCCAACCCCACCTTTGATGCACCCATGTGGGTCACCTATACGAGCAGGACAAGTTGCTAGAATTCCCAGTATTGCAAACTAGGTATAGCCTGCCAACTAAACACTATTCCCATACCTCCAACTGAAATCTCTGTTGTTGGACTCGAAAGACCAGGCAACGACACCTACTATTTAGACCATGGAACAAGTGTGCACTTCGGCACAACAGCCCAAAAAACTACTTTCACTTATATATAATATGCTGAACATTGCCACTAAGTACACTGCAGAACGCTTCATGTTGCCATGGCAGGCAGATATAGGCAAACAGTTCACTGAAACACAATGGGAAAAGGGCTTTTTGGCACACAAAAAGAGAACGCATTGCGCCTCTCACTTAGAGATAATGCGCAAACTCACCGGAATGTGGCCTCCTCTTCATGATGTTCGAAGAATATAATAGAACCGATTCGAGACTCTTGTACCATATACTGGTCGCAGCCAATACACTTGTAGCAAGGGCATGGAAACAGACTGACCCACCTGACAGGGTAGCCCTAATACGACAAATATCTCTGAATTAAGAGTGCGAAACAAAGGTTAACAAACAGCTTTCCACAAATAAATATGCCATGGAAGCCCAAACTCTGTGGGGGATAGGTAAACGGGAGGGGAAGAAGGAAAAAAAACAAAAACACTCGAGGACCAAAGACAGCTCTTGGAGAGATTCACTACACACTGGCCATAATGGCTTTGGCAACTGACAGGGATAGCATGAAACCTACACTTACCCACATGTATATAGTTTTATTGGTAACTGTTAACTTTTGACCATTCTCGAGATCGCCACAATGTTGATGCAGCCTTGACTCGCCCAATAGACATCTCATGGCCCATCCTCATTCACTTACCAAGAATCCAGGAGACACAGGCAACACCAACTGGTAAAAGTCTACCATAGGCCAGAAAGCCAGAATCAGCAAGAGAGATAAGATTTAGACAGAGACAAGACATAGGCCACAAAAACAAACAACAGACGAGTTGGGAAATCCACACGTACGTAGAAACCTGATGCTCTGCCACCAGCCTGAGAACAAAAAAGGAAGCATGGGAGGTAGACTGCACTTGAGGGATAACACGTAATGTACTCTCCACCATCCTAGTCTTACACCTGTGGTCTGGGGTCTGACACCAACATCCACAGAGTAGAGACTCCACTACCTTCGGGCAAGCTCTGTAGTGCTCCGCCACCATACCTTAAACACGGGGGACAACAGACATGGGGGCTGACAAATGGGACAATGGAGCATAGGGAGCATAGGGAGTGGACTACCAGGTGATGTCGGAGACAACAATGTACCATGTGTTATGTTTATTTTAACCCTTAAAACCCCAAATTCATTTATCTGTATCCTTACAAAACGCAATCAAAATTGTCAAATTGAAAAAAAAAGATAACCACTATAGTACACTGTATTGTTTATGGTGCCAGGAGAGCCTTTCACCCACCCTCCCCCCAATTGTAAAAAGTCAAAGACACTCTCAGCCAATGAGCTAGTTCTGCACTGTAACTGCACAGATCAAAGCTTTCTGTTAGCTTACAGGAGCTAAGGGCTATAGTAATGTTCTAGCTTATTTCTGGAGAGCATCAACTGATTGAGCCAATGAGCAAAACCCTGCACCAAGCTCAGTGAAGAGAGCTTATTGAACCGTGCATTGCAGTGCAGTGAAGAGAGCTCATTGGGCAGTAATAGAGGCAGTTGTAAGAAGTCAAACCATTCTAAAAAGGTACCATTATGGTACCATAATCCATACAGCGCTTTGTAGTGGTTGTGATCCTTGTAATGTTCCTTTAAGATCACCACTACGTTAAACTATTCCAGTACTGGGGGTTATAACATAATTACGTGGGAGATAAATATGCCACTAGCTGAATTACCTACATGCATTATTGTTTTATTTCAGTTTTGCAGGTGAGCAATGCAGCCTACTGCAGACCTGTTTCAATACATGCATGGACCCATCTTTTTTTAGTGTCCATATATAACATACACGTGGAGTTACATTTTTGATTTATTTAAGTACATTAATTATCCAATAGTTACCTTGTGCTTGGATTTTTTACAAAGCCAGTGTTGACAAATACAGGACAGAGACATGTAGTCTTTATTCCAGGTTTCTTTATTGCAGAGAGTTCTGCGGTAAGTGACTTGTGATACCCAAATGCTGCAAATTTAGTGGCACTAAAAGTGAGAATAAAATGTTTTTTTAAATGGGAGAACATTTTTACGGTTTACTTTAACTATCACATTTTTAGCAGGCATGGTTTTTGCCTTAAACTTATATTCCAAAGTTCAACCCTGTTTATACATTCCGTAAATAATTAATTACATGTGCATTTACCGAAAATGAAATAAGCATTATACTTGTGCCTGAATGTCTTGTTTTAATGTTTTCCTGGGCATTTAATTTGTCTTTTAATAATTCCACTTGAGACAATAAGTGGTTTAAATATTTTATTTGCTTTAATATTTCAGTCAAAACATATTTTCTCATAGAAGCCAATGCAACAGAACATTTAATGGTGACCTTATTACCATACTCTATGGCAACTCTGTGGATAAAAAATAATGGTTAACCTGTAGTAGCCATGACTGAGGAAAGTAGGAAAACTCTGTATCTATTGAGTACATTTCAGAACTGCAGCATGCAATGTCCCATAAAGTCAATATGCAGGTGGAAAAGTACCTACTGTAAATGGGTATTAAGCCACCAAATGAATAATAGTATTTTGTTTGGATGGCATTTTTGGGAACCTACATATTCTTACCTCTCAACATTAGAAGGTAGGTACTTGACAAAGGGGAAACGGTCTAAGTGGGTGAGCAGAGTGTGAAAAGGGGAAGGTCTGGTCACAAATGGGTCTAACTGCAGCTCTGACCAGTCATGCTGACAGGCATGTATGGCAAGTCCTAGTCCATACTGTCCATGCTCAGAGCACTTCTGAAGAATTGCGTCCATAGGCTCTAATAATGCTACTCATATTGTGTATTGAGGCCAAATTTAATCTGGGGACACTAGGTAACAAAAGCAGGATGGTGTAACAGCACCCAAAACCAGGAATAGGTGAACGGGTCTATGGGGCATGTCAGTGACACCACTTGTGTCCCTGCTGATGTCCAATGGGCTGTCTCACCTGGAAAAGGGCCTTACTAACAAGGGGCCTGGAGTGACTTACAGCCTACCACGTGGGCCCCATTGAGGGCAGACTGTGCACAGAGCATCACTGAAGGGCTCTCTGTATGGTCCTGCTGCCCTGATACAATTCAGCACAGCACAAACGTATAATGAAGCACTCACATTGCACTTGCTGGGGATAGATTCCTTGTATCTGCAATCTATTAAGGCAGGACAGGACACCACAAATGAGATAAAGAAAGACAGCAGCTCCTAAAGGAATATAAAGTACAAAGGGAGGTAACATTTATACACTTCCTGGTGAAAAAAAAAGGACACTGTTACGAACACACCCTACTACAAGAGTGTGCGTGACATAGTTGTGGTTGTGAAAGGGTTAAAGTTCACTATTTGTCTGCACTAGACCGGAAATAATGACAAAATCCCCCTTTTAACACCACCTACACTTAAACATAATAATATAACTATTACTATTTCAACGCTGCCACCACCAAGACAATTTATAAATGGGGTGCCTTGGTCCCCCAGGCAAATCAATAATAAAACCCACTAAATATTACCTAGTACAATATTCAAGGAATTACAAAAATACTAACTAGTCTCTTCAGGTAACGTGATTCTTAACCAGACAAAGGCAAAACTTAATAAATGAACGTTTATTATGAGCAAAAGATAGTCACAGTGCATATAACAATATATGATAAACAAATTATTTACACCAACAACAGATAAAAACAAAAAGGATAAAATACAGAAGTCCTAATTACTCACTTAGGTTTTCAAAGTACAACCTCTGTCCAGGGGGTCTATGGCAAGGAAAGATGGTGACTCATTTAAAATTAGATCTTGGCCCCAAGCAAGTACACAAACACCCTTCAGGATCACAGGAGATATACCCTTTGAATTGCCACGCCTCATCCAGGGGTGGAGCAATAGGGATACTAAGTGTCCACCTCCTTTGTTCCAGAAAACAACAAGCCACATACAAACTTTTGGTTTTATCTCCTCTACTGTACTTGCCACAGAAATAATAATTGCCTCTATGAATTTGTTATTGTTTTCCCATTCCAAAGATATGTTGCACGCCCCGCCCACGATCCAATAGGACGGACATCACAAGTCCTGCCACACGGTTTAAATTGTGCAACTCATGTTTAGGCTTAATTAAAAGATTGGGCTTGTCCCATTCCAAATATAATAAAAATTAGGCTTTATTATTAACCTGTGGGTAAGTATTAATGTTTCACTTGGATAAGATACTGGAACACAAGGATCTTCATGAAACTAACCCCATTACCATTTCAAATGATTGAACTATCCTTTACAAGGTACATGCCAAATGGATGAAGAGACATTCAGACTTTTTCCAAGTGTAGAACCTCACACCTTGCAGAGCCTTGATTACTTCACATCCATATAGTAAAATCCTTTTCACATTCCTATGCCATTCATACTATATTACTATATTACTTCTGTCATTTGACCTCTGTGGGGGTCCCAGCTTCAAAAGATGTAACCCCTGTTGACCTCAGCAATAGCATCTCTGTAATTTGTGCCATTTACTACACAAATTACATTAAAGGATGATATTCCATAGTGTAATAATAAATTATACACCCTTGCCGTGACAGACACACTCTAAAATTTTGTTGGACAGCTTTTAGCTTTGATTACAGCACGCATTTGCTGTGGCATTGTTTCGATAAGCTTGTGCATTTTTCACCAAGATCTTGAATTGATGATGGGAGAGTCGGACCACTGTGCAAAGTCTTCTCTAGCACATTCCAAAGATTCTCAATGGGGTTAAGGTCTGGACTCTGTGGTGGCCAATCCATGTAAGAAAATGATGTCTCATGCTCCCTGAACCACTCTCTCACAATTTGAGCCCCATAAATCCTGGCACTGTCATCTTGGAATATTCCCATACCATCAGGGAAGAAAAAAATCCATTGATGGAATAACCTGGTCATTCAGTATATTCAGGTAGTCAGCTGACCTCATTCTTTGGGCACATAATGTTGCTGAACCTAGACCTGACCAGCTGCAGCAACCCCAGATCATAGCACTGCCCCCATAGGCTTGTACAGTAGGCACTAGGCATGATGGGTGCATCACTTCATCTGTCTCTCTTCTTACCCTGATGCACCCATCACGATGGTTCCCCACTATCCTTCCATTTTTTTGTTTTTTTTAATTCACGGTTTTTATAGATGTCATTCATTAGTCACAGGTAGATCTTTTTACATAACAGAGTACAATGCTGAGCAGGTCAGCAAAGTATGCAGTTCAAACTTCAATTTGTGAGTGTACAGTATATGCATTTCAGACCATATAACTAACATTATCAGCTATGCAGTACATTCCCTTTTTTTTGAATGTGAGGTTACATTGAGTGGTAGGGATTAGCTGTAGTTAGCTGTATCAGTGGAGTGTATAGTTCTGGAGAGGTATTGAACTGAGGTATGGAACTTGGAACATGAAACTTAATATTCTAAGGTGGGGGGGGACTCGTGGGCAGCAGGGAGACGCAAGCCGGGGGCCCACTGCTGCCGGACCTGTTTGGTGCTTGGTGGGTAGTGTAGGGGAGTCAACGGTTAGTGGGTGGTTCGCAGTGTGACGGGGAGGTCTATCCTTGGGTTGCTGTCGTATGTGTCTGGAAGCCGTGTAGGTCTTGTCAGTCATGCCGTCCCTCCCCTGGTACCCGTGGGGCACTATCGTGTGGTCGCTGCGAGCAGGTTAGCTTGTCCATTGGGGTGGTACTATTGTGCCTTGTTTTGTCTGTTTTTATTGTTGTTCAGAGCTGAATGTCAGAGGAATCGCTTTTGGGTGGAGAGCGCCCCAGGTCGAGGGAGAGCGTGTGGGGTGGGAGGTCGTTTAAGCGACCGAAAACTTTGGAGTGCCTACGAGAGTGGCAGTGTGATGGGACCAGTGATGCTGAGTTGGGTTCAAGATATATATCCCAATCGGGTCTCGGAGGGGTTGGTAACCGCTTCTGGCAGGTCTGGTTTCTTGTGTTGTGTCTGTGCATCAGCCTGGCTCCAGGGTGTTCCAAGAAGGGTGGTTTGTATTGTGTTCATTGTTCATGGGTACGTGTGGGGTCTCGTATGAGTGTTGTGTTGTGTGGTTGTCCTCCCTACGTGGTGTCATGTTCCAGTGCTGTTGTGTCAGTAGTTGGTTATGTGTAGTTTGAATTGCTGGGGGGGAGGAAGAAGGCGCTTGGAGGGTTAGTGAGGAACGAGAGTGTGAAAGGTGGAGGAGGGGGGTTGGCTAGGTCAAGTGGCTAGGGTAGATGGTGGGGTTTGTTCCCAGGACCCCATTCTAGCTTCCCTCACCCCCAGGCCGGGGCTGATGGTTCTCTGCGTCCTTTTGGGTTGTGTCCCTTCCCTCAGCGTTATGCCATCGCTGCTCAAAAGGTTTTGATGAGTGGGCATGACCACCAGATATGGAAGAGGTATCCTAGTTCCTTCCTGCATCTCCAGCATTCCGTAGTCTTCATCACGGTTAGTTTTTCTGGCATCCTGTACCAGTGTGAGATCATTCTGTACCCAGTTTCCTGGAATTTGGTGGATATAGAGGCTTTGTGTATAAGTGTAAACACTGTGGTCCATTGTTCCGCTGAGAGTGTGTGTCCTAGGTCCTTTTCGCAGTATCAAGTGAAATAAGGGAGATGTGCGTCAGTGTGAGGGGTGATTTGCATGTGGTAGAGGATCGAGATTGCATGCGGTGGGGGAGGGGAGTTCGTGCAGATGGCCTCGAAAGTAGAGAGTGCTCTTGATGCTGAGTCTAGGCCAGGTATGTTCTTCGGGAACCTCGTCACTTGATGGTATCTGAAGCTAAGTGATCGTGCCCTGTTTGTACATATCCTTCAGTCTGCAGGGGGATAGCAGTCCAAGGGGTGTAATATAGCGGGGGTCTGGCGCTGGGGTGAATCATGGGTTGTGCGATATGGGGCATAGCGGTGATAGCTCCGGGGCCATGTTATCGTGCGATGCCATTATCCTACAGACAGTCATCATGGCATTCAGGGTTGGGTGTTTGTTCGGTAGCTCACCGGTCATAGTTTTCGGTAGCCATGGGAGGAGGGGCAGGGGTGTCTGTGAAAAGCTCGCCTCTATTGAGATCCAAAGTTTATCTTTCGTGTTGTGTGTCCATTCGATCACCCTCTGAAGGTGGACGGCCCGCCAATATTTTGCCAGATCTGGTAGTCCCAGTCCCCCATGTTGCTTGGGTTTGGTGAGGGTGGCGAAGTTCAGTCTCGCCTTCTTGCGGTGCAAGACATAGTCTGTCAGCATTTTCCGGTTTGTGATAGGAAGGTTTTGGGATGTGGATTGGTAGGGTTTGCAGAAGATATAAAATTTGCGGGAGTATGTTCATTTTAAGTACGCTGATCCTCCCCAGCCACGTAATATGTGGAAGTTGCCATGAGTCTAGGTCCTTTTGTATCTGGTCGAGGAGAGGTGGGAAATTGATGCGGTAGGAATCTGTTAGGTCTGCAGATAACCAGATCCTCAGGTATTTGATTACCTCCTTTCACCAGTGGAAGGGAAGCTCATTTTGCAGCGTGGCTACCAGTGCTTGAGGGCATCCCACGTTGAGGATTTCAAATTTTGTGTGGTGTTAGCTTGGATGTCATGTTCTGTGCGATATACGCTTTTTGGCGTGTTGGGAAGGTCCCCTCTACTTTGTTTTCATGTGAGATGTTTGGGGCTAAGCAGTACAGTGAGGAGTAATATTTTCGGAAGCCTTCTTCTTTGGCTTTAGAGATGAGTAAGGTTTTTCCCGCTAGGGAGATCTTTTGGCTCTTCTGCCTTCGCGCTCTCAGCGCCCTACCAAGCAGTGTGCCGCTTTTGTAGACAGGTAAAAGTGTGTAGGTGGTGTTGCAGGGAGAGATGATAGGGAGATCAGCGGGGAAGGAAGGGGTAAAGGGCAGTGTGGGGCAATAAGTGGAGGTGTTATTGGGTCGCAAAGACGACTGGGGTCAGGGGTAATATGCTGCTGGTAGGTGGATGTCTGGGGACGTTGTCCCATGTATCCACCTCTCAGGGTGTTGGCAGTAAACCCGTGGGGCTGGTGTCGTTAGCGGCTGGGTAGGTCACTGTTCAGAGAGTGGGGTGTCACAGTTGGTCAGTATCCGTCCCCTGCTGCCCACTTTCTGTGAGATGTGGCACCCATCAAGGGAAAGACCGGTTTGCCGGTCTGTGATGCGTGTAAATGAGCATCCGTATTGGTTGTTTCAAGGTGCGTACCGTAGAGCATACGAGTTAAGAGTAAACTAGAAACATATGGAAGAACATCATACAGTATTAATACAGTATATGACATCATCAAGGAAAACATTTACAACATTTAGAACAGTTAGAACATGCCCGTGTAATAAACAATAAACAAGTTGGTGGACTGATAAATAAGTAAAATAGGGAGTGAGTAAGAGAAAAGCAACAAAGACAATTAATACTTAATATGAGGAGCTTAGCTATCTCGTCTCTAAGGTGTCTGCGTCCTTAGTTTGTCTCTGATCTAATGTCCGGTGTGTAGCTATGTCTAGGTGCCCAGGGTGTAAGTGCTTCTAGTTCTGTAGGTGTTGTGAGGGCGTCCTGGGTGTGTGATTGGTCCAGTGAGGGGTCCGGACCCTGTTGAATGATGCAGCGGGTTGGTCTTCCTATGGAGCGTTCGTTTGCCGGGCAACTCATCCAGTCCGGGATGGGTGGGAGGTCGAGGGCTTCTTGGAAGGCCTGGACATCCTGTGGTGTCCAAATTGTGGCTTCGGTATTACCTCGTCGGGCTGAGAGGGCGAAGGGGAATTGCCACCAATAGCGTTTTTGAGAGTTTTGCATGGCGGCGGTTAGGGGGCATTCTTCCGACAGCGTGGAGCTTGGCGAGGAGGGCGCCATGTTGGAGGCCTCATCCTGCGAGAGAAAGTCTCCTGGAGTATGCAGGTAACTGCGTATCGAGGGGTGCGGGTTGCTCCCTTGTGTTCTCGGTGTGGATGGGGTTCATTTGGGCTTGCTTGGTGCACCTCATGGGTGCCAGATTGCGCTGTTTAGTTCTGCTTTGGTGCAGTCAGGAGCGGAGCTGGAGGATTAGGTGGCCATTCTCGTCTGGCGCCAAGCCACACCCCATCCTTACAGCTTTTAATAATGCGTTGGACAGTTCCTAACCCAATTTTAGTAGTTTCTGCAATCTCCTTAGATGTTTTCTTTGATCGATGCATGCCAATGATTTGACCCTTCTCAAACAGACTAACATCTGTTCCTCGACCACGGTATGTGTCTTTAGACATGGTTGTATAAGAAATGTGAAGCTACTCATTGCATCAGTTGCAAGCCACCTAAATGGTGGATTTAACAATATAAGTTCAGGAATACATGTGTTCCTCCTGTTTGTGTTCCTGACCCTATAGTGTTCCTTTAAATCCTTTAAAGTATTCTCATGTGTGGATATGTTTTGTTAGCATAATACTAGCCAGTGGTTTTGTTTAATTAAAAATAATAATCTACAGGGATATTTTACATAGAATGAAACTAAAGCTGTATTAAAGAAATCTAAGGTAGGTAAGGGCCCGGAACTGATGGACACCAGAATATGGAAAAGAGAATAAGGGGTGTTCTCCGGAGTCTTCTTTATATTACCTGCCCCCAACATACTCAACCTATTATTGCTGATCAACTCTGGAAATATATTTACACATTGACCTAGCGGTTGAAGGGGTTGAAAAAGCCCTTGTCTTCGTCAAACTCTCCACAATTGTATGATACAAACCAGGGGGTTATCATTGCAGCTTGTAATTCTTTTGAAGTTCTACACTCTATCAGTTTAATGGCAGAGAGTTAAGTAGCAAGCTGGCTCTCTGTAAGAAAACATGTTGCATCTTGTTCTAGTTTGAGGGTGTAGCTTGTGAGTGTAGAGAATATACTCCCAACACAAAAAGATGCTGAATAAGACAAAGCCATTAGCGCAGAAAATACAAAAATGTATTCTGATAAATGCATGTGAGCGTTTAACTAGATAGAATGGATAAAATAGCAAATCCCAAAACTACTATTACAGTCAACATACCTACAGGATCTAGAGCGGGGGTTCCCAACCCAGTCCTCAAGTACCCCCTACCAGTCCAGGATTTAGGGATTACCCTGTTGTGTCTAAAGTGTTTTTTTTTTCTACAAACACCTTAGAGACAATTTGGTAATCCCTAAATCCTGTTAGGGGGTACTTGAGGACTGGGTTGGGAACCACTGATCTAGAGAATAAAATGTGTGCAATACATTAATACCATTGTTTTTCAAATATATGTTTCCTGAAAACAGTATGGCAAAATGATATCAAATTAAAAACATAATGCAAAGTTTAATTAAATCAAAAGTATCAATTACAATATTATAATTGTATAAATCTGTTGTGTTTTCCTTTTAGATTTATTTTTATTTTTTGCAAATATACATTTTGTTACTTTGGGTTAATCAAATAACCATATAAATAATATCCTAAATATAATAGAGCAAAAATATTTGGAAAGACTTGGACAGTTGTCGTTCGAAATAAAAAACAAGTGTCATAGTTTAAATAGAGAAGGTGAGATGGACTCTGAACTCTGTGAAATACATTTTATATGTTACATGAAGAAAAGACAGTGTGCGTGCATGTCCCTAGGAGAAAATATCACACTGTAGTGCCAATTTAATATTTTTACACAATCTCTTTAACCCCTTAAAGGACCACTCTAGGCACCCAGACCACTTCAGCTTAATGAAGTGGTCTGGGTGCCAGGTCCTTCTAGGCTTAACCCATTTTTTCATAATTATAGCAGTTTCAGAGAAACTGCTATAATTATGAATGGGTTAAGCCTTCCCCCTAATCCTCTAGTGGCTGTCTCATTGACAGCCACTAGAGGCGCTTGCGTGCTCCTCACTGTGATTTTCACAGTGAGAGCACGCAAGCGTCCATAGGAAAGCATTGTAAATGCTTTCCTATGCGACGGGCTGAATGCGCGCGCAGCTCTTGCCGCGCGTGCGCATTCAGCCGACGGGGCGGATCGGAGGAGGAGAGGAGGCAGAGAGCTCTCCGCCCAGCGCTGGAAAAGGTAAGTTTAACCCCTTTTCCCCTTTCCAGAGCCGGGCGGGAGGGGGACCCTGAGGGTGGGGGCACCCTCAGGGCACTATAGTGCCAGGAAAACGAGTATGTTTTCCTGGCACTATAGTGGTCCTTTAAGGACTGGACTGTTTTTGCGATGTTGTACATTTGCGACCAGGCATATTTTTACACTTTTGTGGTGTTTGTGTTTGGCTGTAATTTTCCGCTTTCTCATTTACTGTTCCCATACAAATTATATATTGTTTTTTTCAGGACAAAAGGGGCTTTCTTTACATACCATTATTTATATAATCTCATGTATTTTAATTTAAAAAAAATAAAAAAATCTGATGAAAAATTGAAAAAAATACATGTTTTTTGACTTTTACTTGAAAAATCTTTTACTCATCTACAAAAGCGAATGAAAAAAACTGCTAAATAGATTCAAAATTTTGTCCTGAGTTTAAAAATACCTAGTGTTTACGTGCTTTTTTGCTTTTTTTTGCATGTTATAGGGCTATAGGTACAAGTAGGATATTGCGGTTTCAAAACATACATTTTAAAATTTATCAATAGTGACATTGTAACACTATTATCTGTCATAAATCTCTGAATAACACCCCACATGTACATATTTTTTTTAAAGTAGACAACCCAGGGTATTCAATATGGGGTATGTCCAGTCTTTTTTAGTAGCCACTTAGTCGAAAACACTGGCCAAAGTAAGCATTCATATTTGTTTGTGTGTGAAAAAAGTAAAAAAACTAAATTGAACGCTAATTTTGGCCAGTGTTTGTGACCAAGTGGTTACTAAAAAAGACTGGACATACCCCATTTGCAATACCTTGGGTTGTCTTCTTTTGCAAATGGTATGCCATCATGGGGGTAATTCTCATTCCTGGGCTACCATACGCTCTCAAAGGCAACGTAACCAACCTGGCCATTTTCAATGTAAAAATATTTGACCCATATATTTGACCTTGTAACTTTCAAAAATGCTATAAAACCTGTACATGGGGGGTACTGTTTTACTCGGGAGACATCGCTGAACACAAATATTAGTGTTTAAAAACTGGAAAACGTATCACAACAATTATATCATCAGTAAAAGTGCTGTTTGTGTGTGAAAAATGCAAAAAAAGTAACTTTCACTGACAATATCATCGCTGTGATATGTTTTACTGTTTTGAATCACTAATATTTGTGTTCAGCGAAGTCTCCCGAGTAAAACAGTACCCCCCATGTACAGGTTTTAGGGTGTCGTAGAACGTTACAGGGTAAAATACAGTGCTAGCAAATTAAATTCTCTGGAATTTCGGCCTGGGTTGGCAGGCAGGTCCCTCAAATTGCAATCAATAAAATTACTGAATTATGTAAAAATATTACATAAATACGCACGTAGAATTTAAATATATATGCATATTTATATATTTGAAGTCTACGTGTATATTTATATAATTATTTATGTAATTTTGTATATGGACGTATGTATATTTCTTATTATTTTTATTTATTTTTATATACATAGATATATATACAAATTCATTCTAAGTGTATTTTGATATAAATATATATATATTAATTTTAAAATACAGTTAGAATAAAATTTCATATAGCTATATAATTTTTTAAATTTTTTTTATTATTTAAAAAAAATTTTATTTAATTTAAATTACTTATTATTTATATTTTATAATAATATATATATACAATATATATAGTTATTATATATATTATATATATACGTGTGTAATTTAATTATAAGTGTATTTTTATATTAATATAAGTACATATTAATATAAAAATACACTTAGTATGACATTATATATATATATGATATATAGACATATTTTATATATATATATATAATATATGTCTATATATCATATATACACATATATAATTATTATTTATTTTTTTATTAACACTAACTTTATTTTTTTTTCTGATTTTACACTAGCAGGGAGACTGCCTGTCAGTACAGACAGTCCCCCTGCAGGCAGACACATGGACACCTATTGTGACCATGTGATCGCTGTGTTAAGCGATCACATGGCCACAGGGGTCCTAATTCAGTGTGGGGAGACTGTCTGGGCTGCAGGCAGTCTCCCCAAAACCGGAGCCACGCTGATCGCCGCCGGGGGAACGACGGCGATCAGGTAAGTACCTCTGACCGTTAGGACGGTTCAGGACCGGCATCGGTCGGCAATGGGAAAATGCCGATGACGGTCCTGAACCGTCCTGGGTCGGGAAGGGGTTAAATTATTTAATATTTGTAAGTAATATTTTAATATTTAGATTTTTTAAAATACATTTGTATGTATATTTTAATATTTTATACAAATCAGTTTAAATGTGTATCCAAAAATATTAAATTATTTGAAAAGCTTAGAATAAAAAAAATCACCAAGGAATTGTAGACAAATGGTTGATAGGTTTCACTTTTCCAACACATACTAGAATTTTAGATTGTCACCATCCTAGCGTTGTACATTTTCCAACATTAGGGCACATGCGTAAAATCAGCTTGTTGGACACAACAAGGTTAAGCTTAAATTAAAGCTAATAAGCTGAAGTACATGTGGGTAGTTTCTTTTCATACAATTCTGTGTAGTTTTCCTGCAGTGCTGTAAAATATTTTGCTGATTTCAGCAGTGTAACTCAGCCTCCTTAGCCACCACCTCTAAAATTTTAACATGTTCCTGATTCCCAGTCTCTGAAAGAAGCGTACCTTTTCCAGCCAATGAAAATAGAGGCATGTCTTCTGTAGTGTAAGGAATGCTTACAGCACAGACTACACAGTAGAGACAAGGCTAGAGCCCATATGTGCTCCTCTCCCTCCCTCCCTTTAATGCGAGTAATAAATTCTCCAACAGTCCCTGTCAGCCAACCTCCCTACCCACTGTAAACCCCTTTCCTGCCAGTCCCTGTCAGCCAACCTCCCTACCCACTGATAACACTTTCCCTGCCAGCCAACCTCACTGCCTACTGTTTGTCTGCCAACCTCCCTACCCACTGTTAACTCTTTCCTCTCCTGCCCCTGTTAATCAACCTCCCTAGATGGCTAGATTGAGAAAGATAGATAGATAGATAGATAGATAGATATATAACACTTATTATCTATTATAGGTATTTATGAGTTTGCCTGACTCTTTATATTTATTTATAATAAACATATGACACAATATGATACCTAATGTGGTGAGGAACTGTTTGTGTGTGTTTGATGTGGTATGTAAGTTTTAATGTCTAAATGCAGTATTTGTAGTGTATCTTAGGCTGAGTACTTATTGGGCAGGCATTGTGGGCACATGTTAAGTGATGCAAATTGCATCATGAAGCTCATGCATGCCTTCTGAGGTGTGTCATTACTGATTCTCATAGAGAATCACTGGAGGATGGCCATTGGTGGACAGTCCAGCTGAAATACAGGTAGAAGGGAAAACGTAAAGGGGGTAATGACATGAAATCAGAGGAGAAACAGACAATCTGATCAAAGTAAAGATTATACAATGTAATTCTGCAGCTCATTATTACACTATTTAGGGAAAAGGCATTTAGTGACAGTTTGTTTACTGTTGGGGGGAGTACAAGGATATACATTTTTTGTACCTATACAGTTTTCTTAATATCCACTTATGTTATTTATATATTTTTTTTATTAAATGGTATCTTTTCCAGAAAAGTGACTGTTCATAAATAAGTTAACTGATGATCATGTACCAGAAATTAATTTAGAGATTTTAAGTACTATGAAATAATATACCCACCAATAGTCCACCAAGAATGGAACTCCAATAACACCTGCTGATGAAGCTACTGTAACAATATGTCCATGGTTGTTGGTTATCATGGATGGAAGAAAAGCTCTTGTGGTCTTTGGTAGAGAAAAAGATAATAATTCCAGTTTAGCACAGAGCACTGGGCAATACAAAACACATCTTATATTAGCACAAACTAAGAAGTAAATGCAGACTGCAATTTATATTGAGTATTTCACATAGCTATGTTGAACAAAGCTACCTAAATCTTTCCAAGATGTGGGACCAACATTAGAAAATAAAAGATGCATGGAAGGTTATGGGAAAATTGGTGGGTAATATTTAAAGGGAATTTTTCTAATGAATTATGTTAGGATATGTACTTTCCTAATGCAGAAACCAGCACGCCTTCCTAACATTCTGGATTCAGTGGGACTATCAAAGTTTTCTCGGTGTCATGGGTTGCACAACCAGCACTTGCTTCTCTGGGACACAGAAAAAAATTGCACACACTCCATTACCAATCCCACACATGCAAAGTGACACAACTCAAGGACATCACTCAGTAAACCTTTCTTGCTGTCTAAATACACCACAGCAGTTTGGCAAAGAAAAAAAAACACTCACCCAAAAATGAGCAAGAATATTCACTTCAAATATTTTTTGGATTTGGCTATCTTGCAGCGTCAGCAGATCAGCACAGAAAACAATACCGGCATTATTGATCAGAATATTAACATCTCCAACTTCTTCTTTGACCTGGGAAATACATTTTATTTAAATTAATGTGTGTACTAGAGTACAGAGAGTTGTCATTAATGTTAAATTTTAAAGCTGGATAAAGTGGCACGAGGTCTGTTCTGGGACCACTTCTATTCAACCTATTTATAAATGATCAAAACACATAAAAAGTGATTTTAAGGCTCGGAACGAAAATATAATTTTGCCCCTTTGTAAATCAATGATTAGACCACATCTTGAATATGCCATGCAATCAGAGGCATAACTAGAAAGCAACGGGCTGCAGTGCAAAAATTGCCCTGGGCCAACACCCATTTGCCTCATCCCTCGCAGCCTCTCCATGTGTCTCATCCCCCCAGCTCCTTCATGTGTCTCATTCTTCCCCCCAGCAAATCTATGTGTCTCATTTCACACCCCCAGATCTTCCATGTGTCTCATTCTCCCACAGCCCCTCTATGTGTCTCATCCCGACCAATTTCTCCATGTGTCTCATCCCCCCAGCCCCTCCATGTGTCTCATCTCCCCCAGCCCCTCCATGTGTCTAATTCTCCCTCCAGCTCTCTGTGTGTCTCATTACCACCCCAGTCCTTACATGTGCCACATTCTCCCACAGCTTCTCTATGTGTCTCATCCACCCTCCAGCCCCTCCATATGTCTTCTCACTGCCCAGCTCCTCCATGTGTCTCATCACTCCCCAGCTCCTCCATGTGTCTCATCCCCCAACCACTCCATGTGTGTCAATCTCCCCAGCCCCTCCGTGTCTCTCATTCCACCCAGCCCCTCCATGTGTCTCAATTTCCCCACAGTACCTCATGTGTCTCATCCCCCCTGCTCCTCCATGTGTCTCATCCCCCCAGGTGTCTCAATTCCCCTCTCAACCCTTCCATGTGTTTAAACTCTTATCCCAGCCCCTCCATGTCTCTTATTGTCCCCTTCCTTGTGTTTCATTCTACACCTCCAGCTACCCCATGTATCTTAATCCTCCCCACCACCACCACCACATCTCCCCCTGCTCTCTCTGTGTAGCTTGGCCCAGCGGACCATGGTACCAATCTGACAGGAAGTGCTCTCAGTCAGAATTTCCTGTCAGACCAGGTAAAGGAAAGCAGAGGCCTCTCTACCGCAGTCCGCTTGGTCATGCTACATACAATGACTGACAGGAAGGGAGCACTGTGCCGTGCGCTCCCCTCCTGCCTGTCACAGGGTGAATGAGCGCCCCCTGGTCTGGTGCGGCCATACACTGGCCCTGAAGTGATGGCAGCCCATGGTGGCCGAAGTCGCAGCTGCAGCCAGGCCCCCTGGAGTGACAGCCTGGTTGCAGCTGCAACCCCTGTGACCACGCTGTGACCAGTTCATGTAATTGTGGGCATATGTTCTAAAGAATGTTATTATGACACTATAAGGCAGGCTACACAATTAATAAGGGGAATAGAAGATGTAAGTTCTAAAGAAAGGCTAGCATTCAAATCTGTTGAGTAGCATTGCATTTTCACCTTGGCAGCAGTTGCATAGATTTCTTCCCGTTTGCTGCAGTCCACCACATACGCGTACACTTTTGCACCAAGCTTCCTGCACTCTCTTGCAGTTTCATCTACACCATTCTGAGAAAACGTTTAAAATTAGAAAGTTATTTTTTTCTTCCAATTTACTGTTTATTGAGCATTTTCAATTTAGGGTACAGAAAGAAAAATAGGGAGGGGAGTATTCCCTCTGGTGTAGAGGTTCATAGTTTGGGTTTTGTTCGTCTCCCCTAGGGAAGGGTGTAAAGGGGTGAATGGATTGCAACAACATTTTTAAGACATTCTTCGCTTATTTCTCTAGGTGTAATGCATTTTTGGCCCTTGTTATCTAGTATGTAAGAAATTTTTTGGTTTGCTTGTTTCTTTTGAGATGGGCTTTGTTTCCCTGTATGTAGTGGGTTATTTTTAGTTTTGTCATGTTTGCTTGTGTTTTCTCTAGGGCCTGTTGGTGTATTAATCTGGTTATAGTTGTGATGCGTTGTTTGTTGGTTTCTAGCGGTTTTATTTGATTTTGTGTGTTTAGGTCATACAATTCTTGTTGCCATTTTTTGATCTTAGTGTTTGTGTGTTTTTTGAGATATGCTGCCCTTCTAATTAGTAGTCTCCTGGCTACTGTCTTGTGAGCCTGCCAGACCGTTGTTGGTGTTACCTCTCCCATGTTATTTAGTGTAAAGTAGGATTTTAGGTCTGCTGTTCGTTCCTCCGTGCAATCCCTGTCATGGAGTAATGTGTCGTTGAGTTTCCATGGGCTATGGTGCTTATAGTCATACATGTTTTTCATGTCAAGGAGCACTGGTGCGTGGTCGGACCACGTAATCTGTTGTATGTCGCAAGTGTGCAGTTGATTTAAGTGTGGACCTGATAGGAGAAATCCATCTATCCGGGAGTATGAGTTGTGTACATTGGAAAAGTGGGTGAATGCTTTATCTCCTGGGTGTGTTTTGCGCCATGCATCGTAGAAGTGGTATTCATTTATGAGTTTAGGGATGGCCTTACATTGTCTCCTTAGTGGTCGGTGTCTACTACTCTGTTGTGATAGAGTGGTGTCCAGTTTGAAGTCTAATATGTGGTTGAAATCCCCGCATATCACTGTGATCTCTTGTTGTATATTGCTTACTTTTTTAAGGATGCTATGGACGAAGTTTTGTTGGTTTACTTTTGTTGCATAGATGTTTACTATTGTGTAGGGCATATCATTGATTACTCCCTTTACTATGACATATCTGCTGTTTGCGTCAGTTTCATGATATTGTGGTTGAAAATTCAAGTGTTTGCTTAGGAGGATGGAGGTTCCTCTGCATTTAGCGGGTGAGGTGGCGTGATACTGGTGCGGGAAGTGGAGAGATTGAATAGTGGGGTGATCGTTGTGCCTAAAGTGTGTCTCCTGTAGGCACACTATATCAGCGTGTTGTGATGTGAGGTCCCTGTTTAACAAATGTCTCTTTTCAGGGATATTAAGTCCCCGTACATTGTAAGTACATATTCTCACGATGGTTTTGTAACGCGCTGATGCTTTTGATGTATCATGCTATCTATTTCTACAGGGTCCAACACTCTCCCCAGCGTTAACAAGCCGAGTGATGGGTCCCCTGTTTTGCTAAAGGATCTGGGCGCCGCCAGAGCCGGCAGGAAGTTCGTGCAAGTAGTGGTCTCTTGGAGTTTGTGAGTTCTGTGTGAGAGAGGTGTAAGTGTGGTAACGCTTATGTGTCCCCTCGTGTTTTCCGTTTTTAAAGGGGTACAATAAACAGAACATGAAAAAACAGGAATGAACATAACAATAACAACAAAAGTATATACAGTCAGTAGTACTGCCTTAGGTATGGCTAGGCACTGCGTCTCTGTGCCCTGGGGGTTGAAGCTATGCTTCTCGACCTGGTGGGTCCCCACCCTTATTGCTTCACTTAGGTTTTTCTAGTGTTGTGTTGCCCTACATAGGCTTTTTAGTCAGTGTCGCGGTTTGTGTATTGAAGTAGTAAAGTACTTATTTTTGTCTGATGGTTGGATTTGCTCTTTGCATTAACTGCCTGGAGAGCCTGGGTCTATCGTCTGCCTTGGGGGTTATGTGCAAGTTATGTGGGTCATCGCCTCCACTTTGGAAATATCTGGCTCCGGTTGTCTATCTATGCTTTGGGCCCTAGCTGCTGGCCCCTCTCCCTCTTGGCCCTACTCTCCTTGATTCCCTAAAATTAGAAAGTTATTAAACGTTGATCTAATAATTCTAGTTAGATTTAAAATAATGGAGAATAGATTAAAAAAATCCAAAAGATAAAAGATAGAATTAGTAGTAGTTTTTACTTGAAAAGTTTATAACTGCAGCAATTTGCAAACATACATGGGAATTAGAGTTCCCAGAGATATGCAAGCAGCAGGGGAAGGATGTTTCGAGAGATAATTCAGTTATAAAGGATGGATATGTACATTTGTTTGTAGGTATGTGTCTTTGTATGAGTACAGTTGTTTTGTTTTTGTATGTATACTAGTATGTGTATGTATACAAGTGTATCTATACTATATTTTGTCTATGGATGTATGTGAATGTTTGTACTGAGTGTCTGTTAGTGTAACATCATAAAAACATAATAATGGAAAGTGGCCTTACCATCATGGCCGCCGGACATGTTTAGTAAGAGCTCCTCGCACAACTCCTATAAAATATAGGATTACGACAAAGTGGCGATCCCTGGAAAAACACCAGCGACTACTTATTGACTACGGGGATGCACGTTAGAGCAGTCTATGAGTGGCGCTGTCTATCTGGCGGCCTGCAACGGCTACTGGGCCTACTCACCTGGAGGGACCCACAGAGGCGAGAAACGACAGCTCTCCCAGCCTGGGACTATGGGTGTCACAGCTTCTCCATTCCCCTGCCCCCCCAGGATCGGTGGGGGATATCCCACTAACAGCACTACAGTGAAAGGCTGCCTAGCCACAGCAAGCCCTCGTGGCATGGTCAAAATGGCTGACACACAGACGGAATCATCTGTGAGCAATTGGGAGACCAAGTTCCTTGCAACATTTGATGCAATCTGCACAGCATTTTAGAACCGGATAGAATCCCGCATGGCCCCAGCGGAACTGCCTTCATCTCCTGCCATGCAGGTTCTTGCTGAGACCATTCTTGCCTCCAGGTCGGAGAACAGTATGGCCTAAAGCCCTAACCCACCAGCACTTCATGACAAGCATGTAGCTGAAGCCCAGACTGCTCGCATTTCTTCTGAGCTAGCTAGGTGCCCAACTGGAGGTATTCCTCCTTAGCCATCCATACACCCAGGGGGACAACTGGTTTCTGGAGATCTTGTGGGTCCACGATCCTGATGAGGACACAAGGTACAGGTGCCCCTTAAAGCCTCGGACCAAAGACGTGTGGTAGTGGGGGGAAAAGGAACTACACGCAGCCGACTACAAGCCGTACCACACAATCTACAACGCTATGAAGGACAGAGGGGTCGACGTTGATCTGGAGAGAGACAAAGTTTGATGATTCAACCTGGCATTAGGACTGACTATAGAAGCTTGCCAGTGTGGGGTGTCGGATGATCTTTTATTGTTGCTCATTTCTATGCTTGTATCATGTTCCACTTCTGTCCATTAGCCCCAGAGTGCCATATACTATTATTTACTACATATCATTTCATTATTAGTCTGATTAGTGTTATACCGGAGGGCAGGTTAATATAGCATTTATCCGCCCTACCAATAAACTCCACTAGCTTACTCATAATGTTACGCTGCTTATTCTCACAACTTGCCTATTCCTGAGTGTGGAATGCCATGCCAGTCCCTTACACAAGGTAACGTCTGCTGTCTGGACACAATAAGTCCCTCTCTCTTTAAAAAAACAAACTGACTGACAAACAGACTGAGACCAGCTAGTTTATTGTTGGACAGGCCACAGACCAAACAACCACATAGCCTTATCCATCTCCTGTTATATGCTGACACTTGATTAAGATGGTTATGTATGTATTATCGCTTCCAATGTATCGCTACTGATTGTTTTATAGTGGTGCTGTTGTCACAATACTTTTCTATCTTCATGATTCAAGCCTTAATAAAACAGAGATTGACAAAAAATCTTTGTTCGGGGGCGGAGCCGACCGAGCTGGTGCATGGCCGCGTTCTAAATCAGCTCCGGCGGCACCAGACACACACCCAACCAGATCGGGCCACAAAACGAAAGATGGGTCACCCAAAACGAGCTGCATCTTCCCAGCAAGCCTCCAGCAAAACCCCATCGGGTAAATCGAGCGCTTTCACTAAGTATTTCCGCGACCGGGCGGATAGTAATGCGGGCGCACTAGGCCCCAATATGGCGGCATACTCCTCACCTCTCTGTATGTCCCCCTCCAGCCCAGCAGACTCGGAAATTTCGGGCCCCCCGACGGACGGGGACCTGAAGGACATCCTCAGAAATCTGCCCTCCAAACAGGACATTGCAGGCATGCTGACCCAGCTAGAGGCCTCAGTCCAAGCCAAAATGGATGCATTTAACTCTGAAATTCGCCAAGTAGCTGACAGAGTGAGCACCCTGGAAGATGACCGAGATACTATGCATACGCAGCTGAACTCCCTGCAGGCAGCAGTGGAACACCAGAACACTTACCTGTCCACGCTTCATAGGTCCATGGATGACCTAGACAACAGGGGGCGCCGCAACAATCTAAGGATCAGAGGTCTCCCAGAAAACGAACAAGAAGATATCTACCAGACGCTGAATGAACTATTCAACTTAATTCTGGGTAAGCCATCACATCCTACTAGATAGAGCACACAGGGCACTGAAGCCCAGAGGTATAGCGACTGACAAGCCCAGAGATGTCATTTGCAGGCTTCACTATCACACATTCACACATGCAGGGAAGATATACTGCACACGCTGAAACAGACCTCACAACCTATGCTATTTCATGATGCCCCAATAACCATCTACCCCGATCTCTCGTGGCTGACACTACAAGCGAGACGGATTCTGCGACCAATTACGGACCAATTAAGATCCAGAAACCTAAGATACAGGTGGGGATTCCCACTGGCACTGAGTGTCACGTATAAGGGCACTCAGCACACGATACACTCCCATGCGGACATACCACTCTTTACACAAGCCCTCAACCTCACAGACCCACACATCATGGACTGGTACGGACCGCTGCAAACACCACTTCCACCTCAGCTGCCGCAGAGATCCCGATGGCAACAAACGCCCAAGAAGAAAAGATCAGATACCCAAGACCTGTCGCTACACTGAAAAGATTCCAACCCTGCGCACACACTACGACCTGCTACCAGCCAAGGCTATATGATCCACTAGCAGCTGCCATCTCCGGGACACCAGCTGCTAAAGGAAGCCCAACTCGAACAACCAAGGGACATGCTGAGATGACCATCTCTAACACGCTGCCAGAGACTTGTTAACGCTCCTCGGAGCCATCTCCACTTGGGGCTATCAGGACTCTCTTAAGAACCAGGTGACCGTATCCATATAATGCTAAACCCATGTTGCTAGGGGATGAACCCCCCTTGGGTATGATACAGAGCGAAAATGTCTTAAATGCCAATCCCTATAACGCCAGCCAGCTGTCGCAATGTCCGCGACCTCAGCAGGAATAACATTCAACAGGGTAATCTCGCTTATTTTCCCGCGACACTTACCATCCCCGGCAGCGGCATAGCAGGCAAATATACAGTCCTGATATACGGCTTCCACCTCTCCCTCTCACTATGCAGACCCAATGGCTAGGCTGGCGGCAGGTAAATGCTGCACATTACCGGGATCTTTCCTATTGGCCCACCAACAGAAGTTTAGACATATCATTAACGCATCACCCACAAAAAAAAAAAAAAAAAAAAAGTTTATCTAGAATAACGCTGTTTATACTGTTTCTATAGCCTCCTCATCTAAGATGTCTAACTAACTGATATGTTGTGGAATGTATTTACGGGTGTGTGCTCTGGCGGCGACAGTTGATGACTCTTACTCCCGTTGCTCTCCTACGAGAGTCACTGGCTGACACCAGTCGCCCGAGATCACCTCCGTCCCCCATCTCTATTTGCATACTATCGTATGATTACTAGACGACTTGCATTGTACTAGGTCGACACGACCTATACCACGGTGTCACAAAAGTCCCAGGTGGCAACGTCCCACTCTGGGCCCGACACCAGAGGTCTCCCCTCAGACTGCTGGCTGACGCCCGGTGTTCAACCGGTGCCTCCTAGCAATCTCGGGGGACAGTTTCTACTCCGATCTATTTATAGATTTTTCGCTTGTATATAAGTTAATTGTTCTATATTTTTCTCCTCTTGTTGTTTCTCTTTTTCTTTTGCTTTCCTTCCCCTTTTGCTCCTCCCTCCAGGTGACCAAATCCCCCCCCTCCAAACATCCCCCCCTCACCCACAGACACTCTCATTGGCACACCTACGAACGTATCCAGACCTGATGGCTACCATACAATTAGTCACACTCAATGTTAAAGGCCTCAATACGCCCGAGAAAAGATCCATAGCTCTTACAGAGATGCACAAACTACGAGCTAACGTGGTCTTCCTACAGGAAACTCACTTTAAGAAGGACAGTGCGCCCACTCTCAAGAGCAGGACATACCCAACAGGATTCTTTAGTAACTATAGTCACGCCAAGGCCAGGGGGGTAGCCATACTCTTTGCAGCACACACTCCTTTCACCTACAAGGCTCACAAAACTGATGATGGGGGCAGGCTACTCTTGGTAAAGGGACAGATAGGCCAGACCGTCCTTACATTTGCTAACTTATACCTACCCAACCGACACCAAGGCAAAGCCCTCAAGAAGTATCTTAATATAATTGAATCCTTTATGGAAGGCATGTTGATCATGGGTGGTGACCTGAATATGTCCTTAGACTCTGCCCTTGACACGACCTCCCACTCCACACAATACCAAAATGCTGCAAGGAAACAGATAACACACCTCCTTGACCAAGCTAGACTATTTGACTGCTGGAGGACCACACACCCACAAGATAGAGACTACTCCTTCTACTCCTCAGCCTCACGCTCATACTCCAGGATAGACATGATGTTCCTTCCCCAAGATCACCTGCATCTGGCCATCTCCTGCTCCTACGGTCCAATCACCTGGTCAGACCATGCACCTCTATCCCTAGTCATACAGATCCCTACGCTCCCACTGGCGTCCTTTCATTGGAAACTTAACGATTTCCTCCTCAATGACCCCACAATCACAACTCGTGTGACAACTGCACTTACCAACTACTTCCAAGAAAACACGCTACCAACCATCTCCCCCATGACCACTTGGGAAGCGCACAAATGCGTCATAAGGGGAGAATTCCTAGCAATAGCGGCCACTCTCAAAAAAAGGAGAACACAGAAAATAGACACACTCACACGAGAAATCAGAGTCCTTGAACATACTCAGACCCGGGATAGTTCCCTATCAACCTATAATACCCTCATAACCAAACGCACAGAACTGACACAACTACTGCACCACCAGGCCAAGAAAAAGCTCCTCCATACCAGGCACTCCTACTATACACAGGGAGGTAAATGTGGCAAACTACTAGCCAATGCCCTATGACAGTCCAGGCAAAACACGTACATCTCCAAAATCAAAACACAAACGGGCACTATATCACATACCCTCCCGGACATCATGAAAGCCTTCCAACACTTTTATACCAAACTTTACAACCTCAGGGAGTCACCTCCAGATATAAACGACATAACAAGATACCTATCAACCAGGCTAAAAAATAAAATCCCTGACGCCGTGGCACAGTCCATAGACATGCCCATTACCACTGAAGAATTAAATTGCGCGATAAAATCAATACCACTAGGCAAAAGCCCTGGCCCTGACGGCCTCACAGCCAAATACTACAAACAATTCGCTACACTCTTGGCTGAACCATATCTACGGGCATTTAATGCTCTTACCCATCCAGCCCCACTCCCGGCATCAGCTTTGGAGGCCCATATCACTTTGCTGCCAAAACCCGGTAAAGACCCCAAAGAGTGCGGCAGCTACCGCCCAATCTCGCTCATAAATGTAGACTTGAAGATTTGTACGAAAATCCTAGCCATGCGTCTACAACCTATACTACACACCTTAATCCACCCTGATCAATCCGGTTTCGTCCCTAAACGAGAGGCCAAACATAACACAACTAAAGTACTGAACCTCATCCATCTCTCCCGAACCACACGAGGGCAAAGCCTACTACTATCTATAGATGCTGAAAAAGCATTTGATAGAGTAGACTGGACAATGCTGACTACCACTCTCCAGGCCATGGGCTTTGGTCCAAACTGGATGCAATGGATGGGAGCCATATACTCTCACCCAACGGCAAAATTGAGAATAAACGGCCAACTGTCAGGTCCGGTACACATAAAGAACGGCACGAGACAAGGTTGCCCTCTCTCCCCTTTACTCTTTATTCTCACCCTAGAACCCTTCCTACAGGGAATACGGGACCACAACACCATCCATGGCTTTAAAGTTCACCAACAAGAATTCAAGGTATCTGCGTTTGCAGATAACCTACTATTTTCCATCACCGACCCGCTCACCTCCCTGCCTCCACTGATAGCCGAACTGACGACATATGCCAAGTTCTCCAACTTTAAGGTCAATTACACAAAGAGTGAAATCCTACCCCTCCAACTGGACAGACAAACACAAAACACACTTAAAACCGCGTACCCTTTTGCGTGGGCTAGAAGGTCCATCACCTACCTTGGGGTCCATCTACCCAGACACTTGAAACAAGCATACGATCTAAACTTCATGCCACTACTCACCGAGATATCAAAAGATCTAACAAACTGGCAGAGACCCGTCTTTAGCTGGCTATGTAGGATCAATATATTGAACATGAATACATTGCCAAAGGTGTTATATCTCCTACAAACACTCCCCATTGCGATCCCCCCCTCCTTTTTCTCCAAGCTTAAACAAATATTCACAACCTTCATATGGGCGACTAAACGCCCGAGAATAGCGTACACGATTCTGACCAGACATAGGGGAAGGGGGGGCCTAGGCCTACCTCACATGGAACGCTACTATCAAGCGAGTATACTAACCAGAATATACGAGTGGACCGCAGAGCCCCCGCTGAAGCAATGGGCATATATAGAAAGCTCAATGTTCCAATCCCCTCTATGCACAATCCCATGGCATGACAAGGGACACACACTCCTCCTGCCTCAACACTCACAACACCCAACGATCATACCCACACTACGCCAATGGTCGCGCATTAGGCCCCAGAAAGACGTCTCACCACACCCCTCACCGCTATATCCCTTGGCACACAATCCAAAGTTCCTACCGGGCACATGCCCACACTTCTTCTCCCAATTTCCATTGGTCCAAAAGACGAGATACCCGATGGTTAGTACAGTTATGACCCCAACGGGAGTGGCTCCGCTGTCTATACTGGCCACAACAGACCACCCTACTACCAAACAACACTTCCGATACGCCCAATTGTCCCACTTCTTGAAGGGGGATCCACATTTCATTCGAGGAACAAGGGCACACACCACCTTTGAGACCTACTGCACCACACACAGCCTTCAGACCAAACACCTGTCCATTTTCTACAGACTCCTAAGCACTTCAAGTCACACCCTATTGCCGGCGTTCACGTCAGCATGGGAAGGTGAGCTAAATATCACTATTCCTCAGGAAACATGGCATAGGATCTTCACGCACACACATAAATCATCTGTCAGCACAGCAGTAAGGGAAAGCACGTACAAAAGGATATCCAGGTGGCATTACTCACCTACCAAGATCCATGCACTCTTCCCAACAGTACCTGATATATGTTGGAGATGCGGGCAAACCAAAGGAACCACGGCACACATTTGGTGGCTATGCCTGCCTAGTCAAACCTATTGGCAGAGACTAAGAAGCCTAATAACATCTATCACGGGTTACCAAGTATCACACTCCCCCGAAACCTTCTTATTCCTCATGCACACCACCCACATGCCAAGCCACCTACGCAAACTCATAAACCATATGCTGACAGCAGCGAACATGCTGATACCACTTAAGTGGAAAAGCACTGGGGTCCCATCAGTACGTGAGTGGATACAGAAGGTGGAATTCATACGGACCATGGAAGAATTAAACGCCTCATACTCGAACCACTACAACACATACATTCTAACCTGGCAGCCATGGTTGACCTACCTAGAGCGTTAGAGATACCTAAATGCCACCCTCACCCGACCCATATATTACCTGCACGACCTTCATCCCACCCGCCCTCCTCTCCGTCCTGGCTCTACCACATCGAAAGGTACAACCCTACGAGCCGAACCCATACCCCCCGACCAATGTCGGTAATATGCTCTTTACCTGGATTCACTAGAATACTACCCTGTCAAGTTACACAATGTTACAAATGGGACAAAGGGAAAAAATGCGCAAATACTAAAGCCTGTGAATTTTGCAACGACATTTGTTAAGCCGATGTGGCTACTGTTTTATCTGTCCTGTAACACCTTTTTCTTTGCGCAATAAAATAAAGATTCTAAAAAAAAAAAAAAATCTTTGTTCCTCGACTTATTGGCTCTTGCTTGGACCGGTGGGGATTATCTTGGTCGACAAAGATGAGCATGTTTTTCCATATTGGTGGAGAAGCGCACAATGAGCCAGTGGGCTGCCTGGGCTTTCTTTATTCCCAATATGGCCGAGAAGCCAAATGTCTCACAGTATAGCCCTCAACATGCAGAGGTTTTGGCAAACTTCAATAGAATATGTGAGAAGTATGAGGCATGATTAAACCACTGCTCAAACCAGATAAAGCATACTACCTATACTATATGGCTATAGGGAAGCATCGATTGCTGGGGGGGACTTAATTTAGAGCAGGGAGGGTGAGAAGGGACATACATGCTGAAAGTTCTGGGCTGCCTTAGTTATGTGTGCTGGTTTTGAACTAGTCCCACAGCACAAAAGTGAAAATATCTCAGAATGTCAACATTTTAGTCAGAAACACATATAGACTCCTACTTCCATAACCACTTCTGAAAGCAGGAGTGGTATGATGGTTGGAGTAACACTTTAGGGATCAAAGCAATGTATTACATGGATCCCCTACTAATTCCATCTTTTCAACTCTGGCCAATGGATCCTCAAGTTAACCCCATATGCTAGTTCTTCAGGACCACCTCCATCTCGTGGTTTGAATGCTTTCTCGGGTTTATGGAATGTTGAAGCCATTATTACAGGAGGTTAAAGACCTCCTTTAGTATTCATGGGCACAAGGCAAAAGGAAATGCTACCTCTCAGCCTTGAACTTATGGTGTCAGTATATGGAAAGGGGCCTTGATCCTTTCACTGCATCTGTTCTAGCTATTCTACAATTTCCCCACCGTCTTTTTTTATCTTTTCGTCTTATTTTTTTCTATCACTCCATTAATGTCATGCGTTCTGCCATTTCTGTGGCCCATGTTCTGGTTCAAGGTATTTCAACTGTGTCATCTCATGCAAGGTATTGGTATGTCTTGTCCCACAGTCCCCAAATATTCATATTTTCAAGATGTTAATCTAGTTCTGCGTTTTTTACACAATTGGCAACAAGAATTTATCACTTTGTCAACTTTCTGGGTAGTTCCCGTTATTATTGTGTCTAGTTTCATAGGGTCCGCACCTGATGTTAATACTTTCTACATTCCCTGGCTGAGGAGGTGACTATTCTTATTGTGCATCCTACAAAATCAGATTGTTCTATCATTTTTTTTATACCAATTTGTACTGGTTGAATCCAAACTATGTATGCTTCCTACTCTCCTGTGATATATTTCAGTTATGGTGCCTCATCGATCCTCTTTATTGTGTTAACAACTACTATGTTATGTCCGTCTTCATAAACAACCGGTTTCAGTTAAAACTTGGCTGGCTGTTATCTTTAGAAAGTTCTGTTGCTTCTTTTGGTGCACATTCAGTATGAGGCACTGTGTATAAATGATCTTGGCAGAAGGCAAATAGTTTCCCTCCCTTCCCTTTCTGGATTACTTTTTGATACATCTTGTTTTGATTGTTTGTTTATTTTTCTTAGATATGTAATTGCGGATGGGTCTTATATAAATTTTCTATTGCATATTTATGCACATTTAAGAATCATGTGTTTGCTCATAACAAATTATATTATTACAATACATGTTTGCAAGTTTATGTGTTTCTTATTCAAGTCCTTTTCACCTATTTTCTTTTCTTTCAGTGTGACCTTTTGTACAACTTACAGTTCAAGGATTTTCATTGTGGTTGGTGTCCTAAATGAGTTGAAATCTTCATTAGTGGTTATTCCTTCAGTTTCCCTTTTGGCGCTGTTGTTTTGTTTTTTTTTGAGTCCCTTGTTTTTACAGACTTTAAGTTTTTAGTCTTTATAGCTTATTTTTTTTAGTATTCATATCTTATTTTTGATTGGTTAATGTGTTACTGGCTAAATTTTTTTTAGTAAAGAAAGTGTTAAAGGATCACTATAGGGTCCGGAACAAAAACATGTATTCCTGACCCTATAGTGTTTAATCCACCATATAGGTGGCTTGCCCCCCCTTAGCCCCCTATTAAAGTTTAAAACACACCTTATTTCCAGCGCCGTGTGGGTCTGCTGGTGCTGGCTCCACCCCCTTTGTGACATAATGGCTGATTTTTAGCCAATCCAATGCTTTCCCTATAAAATCAGCACGGGGTCGGGGCCAAATGCCGTTTTGGCCAATCAGGACCTCCTCATAGAGATACATTGAGTCAATGCATCTCTGTGAGGAAAATTCTGAGTCTCCATGCAGAGCGTGGGGACACTGAACGTCAGGGCTGCTTACTGTGCAGCCCTAAGGCAGGAAGCCCCTCCAGTGGCCATCTAAGGAGTGGCCACATGGAGGTGTCCCTAGGAGCAATGTAAACACTGCCTTTTCTCTGTAGTTGTTCTGGTGACTAGTGTCCCTTTAAGCAAAATATGAATTTCTTAATTAAGATCATTTTTACACTAAAGATAGAATAATTTACAATTACGTATCAAGGGAGCAGTCATCAAAATTATCTTGCTCATAGCATTGGGTGTCTGAGTGTATATAGCATAAACAATGTAAACAATTATGAGCAGAGTTCACAATTACAAGGCATTGTGATTAAAAAGGTTCAATTCCTCTGAACTTAGCATAATAAAGCTAGCACAAAGTTCGATAGTAGATCAGTGAGCCATAGTTCAAAGATATTCAAGTTATCATACAAACGCATGTCTGATTGGACTGTCTGATAGTATTGTGTGTATGTATTACAGATAAGGCTTTATATAGGACCTATAGCGATGGGGAGTTTGTTTTCATAAACATTCAATAGTCTAAGGGCTGGAAGAGTAATAGTATATAAAAGGCACGTTTTAATAATTGGCAACAGTGCTTACACAGTGAGACAATCAATACTAGGAATAGCAGGAAGCATAACATGTGTTAAGGTCCTGATAATAACTGGACATTGTCATGGTTTTGGTGCTTGGGATATTTCTTTAAAATGTTTAACCTTTTCAATGGCATTCCAAAAGACACTTCTCACACCTCACTAAAACTCCAGGGCTCGGTTTATTTGATATTATGAATGTTCACTGGTGTATTTCCTTATTTGGGTCTAGGTTTGCTCTAAAAATATTCTCACTATTCTAGATTTAATAGACTATGCAAACAATGCCCAACAGGCTTTTAGAAACATTTTTTTATTTTATTTAAATTCCTTATTTTGTCGTGCAATGAGTTATGCGATATGCATTCGGAATACAATAGCGTGATAATTATCTGATTACAGTGCATGTAGCATATATGAAGTAACTGAAATTTGCACTTTTATTATTTTTTTTTAAAGGATAAAAATATAAACAACATGAATGATTACCTAGAGGATGTAGGGCTTTTAGAATTTATTCACATGGGCACAATCATAGCTGCATGGGACACCATCATTAATTATATCTTTAAATACTACCATACACTATAATGTAATCTGTATTTACAGGTAATAGAATCTCCACCATTGATCGATCATTCTCTGTTGCTATGAAAAGATCATAAAAATATACAATTCTAAAAATGCCATCATAAAGTTTTAATAAATTCAGGTAACATCAATTAATAAAAAAGAAAAAAAGAGGAAAGGGTTAACACAAAACACATTATAAGTAAGAGCTCATTGAAAGGTTTTCTTTAACACGTCTTACTAATTCCTGCACTACTAACCACCATAATATCCATAGGCCAGCGATATGTCACACCTTTCTAATTTAGGGTCCTGTCCTGTCATCCTGACCACATCTGGGGACACTAGAGCACTGTCCTCAGAGAGCACAGCACAAGGGCATAATTAAAGTGAGCATTAGGACCATGCAAAGAGAGTTTCAGCAGCTCTTCAGCAACTCTTTTTTTGTGGTCCTACAGGTTGTGAGCCTGCCAGAAGGATTTCAGTCTAACACATCCCTTCATTAGGCTAATCCATCCTCTTGTCCATCATCATGTTGCCTGTCATTGGAAAAGACCCCTGTAGTTCTGCCCAACCGCCCTGAATCTTTACTTTCCATTGTTGGAAGATAAATAGCCACAATCTAAACAGCACACCCCTTTTGCCCTTAGTCTACTAAATACCCTAAAAGTCACCTGTCCTTCACCCATCCTTTATCCCTTTAAATTGCTTGAAGAGCTATTTTGTTTTTCATTTCTCGTGTTGTAGTGAATTGAAATCCATTTGTGAAATTTAGCTTAAAATGTCCACTTGTGACTTTGAGAATGTTTCAAAATCATTTGGTTTTGCCACATTTTTCAATTTGGTTTTCAGTTCACTAGACCTCACTGTAAAGCTTGGAGGAAAGACAAGACAGGGGGGATATGATAGAAACATTTAAATACATAAAGGGAATCAACACGTAAAGAAGGAGACTATATTTAAAAGAAGGAGAACTACCACAACAAGAGGACATAGTCTTAAATTAGAGGGTGAAAGGCTTAAAAATAATTTCAGGAAGTATTACTTTACTGAGAGGGTAGTGGATGCATGGAATAGACTTCCAGCTGAGGTGGTAGAGGTTAACACAGTGAGGGAATTTAAGCATGCATGGGATAGGCATAAGGCTATCCTAGACTTAAGATAAGGCCAGGGACTAATTAAAGTATTTAGAAAATTGGGCAGACTAGATGGGCCGACTGGTTCTTATCTGCCAACACATTCTATGTTTCTATGTTATGTTTCTAGTGATTTATCTGCTGTGTTTTATGTCCTTTACTCACGGTATCCAACACTGACATTTGTTGGAGCTGTATAAATAAATATTACTATATTCTAAGTATGTTAATTTTTCTGCATGTTTATTTTCAACATGCTTTTATTTATTTATTGTGGCACTGTTTATCTGATCCTTAGCTCCTTACTTGTTGCTGTCCAAAAGCTCTTTTCTTGCTCCTTGTCTTTTGGATCTGTCAAAGCTATTTATACATTATCAGCCAGAATTCTACAGTTCAAGGATTTGAAAAAAAGATACTTGAAAAGCTCTCGTATCAAGACACTGCAAAGCACGGAATGTACAGAATTATCATGTATTAACTTATACAACATGCAGCCCTGCAGGGAACATTTTTTTTTTTTTTTTACAAGCATTTTAATTTAAAAGATTGGGTTGCTAAATTAGGGCATGATTCCCATTTAATGAAATTAAGAATGGTAAACCGGTGGGTTATTCGACTGTTTATTGGACATTATAAGTCATTATTTAAGGTATTGTAAAGCAGTTTTTCTCACCTTATTAATATCCCATAAAACCAGAACGCTTTCAAGTTTGGCAAACAAAGTTGCTGTGATCCTTCCTATTCCATGTCCAGCGCCAGTGATTAAGACAATCTCACCACTCACAGATTTTCTTTTCAAGGGTATAAAAAGTTTTACAAAGGCTTCCAAGTACGAGTAGATGAATGTTAGCAGCAGGAGAAGTATTTCCAGGAAGATATTCATTGTTACCTGTATGAAGAGGCGAGCTGTAATGTTCAACTCTTACAGTCCAACGAGCATTACTTCGTCACAGTTGAAAGGCTAGTTCTACAAGTTAACTCTGATTGCAAAACTGTTTTTGAAAAATCATGTATATGTTGCCCTTTCTTTTTTTTATTTATGTAACCCTTTCCTTCAGTTGCCCCATTTCATGTAAGGGTAGGAGGGGTTCAGAGAAACCCAATTCTTTAATTATTAAAGAACACTATAGTGACCAGAACAACTACAGCTTATTGTAGTTGTTCTAGTGAGTATAGCCTGTTCCTGCAGGCGTTTTAATGTAAACACTGGCTTTTCAGAGAAAAGTTGACCTCTGTTGACCTCTCCTGACACCTCCATCATTGTTTCACACCCTGTTATTTCAAGTGTTCCGCAGGGTGGCCATTGTTCGCATGGACGAACACGTGGGAAATGAGTTGCAGCCATATTTTCGCACGAACGCAGGCGGTGTTCAGTCATCTGGTGCATGGAACTGAAATCGGACAAACTAAATCACTACCTAGAAACCAGATCATCTGTTCAGTGTTTATTTCGTTTTGGGACTCCCATAAGTGACAGACTGCTACCACTTTTCCTATGGAACTATTTTAGGCAGAAGCCACGTGTGCTGTCAGTCAAAACTTTACACCAGTTGCGATTCGGCTGTGTTCATGGGATCTTAGCGCTATTTGGATATGTATATTATAGGCATGGGCGTAGGAACCCAAAAAAATCTGGGGGGATAGCATTTTTACTCGCCGGGTATATTCTTATTCCGTAAACTATGAGTTGTTTATCCCATTGCACAGCGCTACGGAATTTGCAGTTGCTATATAAATGATTAAATAATAACTTTAAAGGGTCACTACAGGGAAGGGATTTTACTTACCTGGATACAGCGCTGGGATCCTCCTGATGCTGCGCCCTATATTTCGTCAAAATAACGAAATAGGAGGGTGCGAGCAGGGAGCAATAAAACGCTTCTATTCAGAAGCGTCATTGCTCTCTGGTGCGCATGTGCAGCTTTGCCGCACATGCGCAGATACTTCATAGGGCGGCATTCATGTCTCGACTAGGAAGCACCTCTAGTGGCCATCTGAGTGTCCACTGGAGGTATTCCTCATCAGTAATGTAAATACTGCCTTTTTACGAAATGGCTGTGCTTACATTAAAAAGCCTGCAAAGACACCAGAACTACTACGTTTAGCTGTTGTGGTTCTGGTGACTATAGTGTCCCTTGAATATAGAGAGGAAAAAAGAATCATCACAAATGTAAGAAATAAAATGTCTGTATCATTATTCTAAAAATTATTTTAAAAAAATAAAAAATATGCACATTCCTAGCTTAATTTTTAGCACGACATATGACACAAACATTTTGTACTTTGCAGATTACTTTTTATATTTTTTTATACATATACAGATTGTGTAATACTGCCCCTGACTTAGGGTGACCACATTTCCTAACTGCCATTCAGTGACACTTTCAGAAATGCATTCCATACATTTTACTACCCGTCTCTACCCCTTCCATTTATATTAGAACCCCTATCCATGTAAATTAGAGATTAGTGCCACAAATAATATGCTAGATTGCCTACTTACAACCAGATGAGGATGATGATGGGCTCTAGCTGCAGTCTGGCTCCACTGGTTTGGTGTAGAACAGGCTCTCTGGAGGCTGTTTGTAACTGTGGTCACAAAAATCAATGTTCTGGGAGAACAGGAAGCAACTCCATTTTTTGGGGGCCCTTTACACAGCTCAAGGTCTGGGTCCCAGGGTCCACCTTCATGTTCCACCTATGAGTTTGTTCACAGGGGGTGGAGTGTGTAGGGGATGTCGTGATATGTGTGTAAGGAATGCATTGTGTGAATCTGTGTTTGTATGTGTAAGGGCTGCAAGGTGTGTTTCTGTGTATGTACGGGATGCAGTGTGTGCGTCTGTGTGTAAGGTTTGCATGATTGCGCGATTGTGTGTGTGTGTGTGTGATGGATGTCAATCTCTCTCCCTCCCTTGTCACTCTCTTTCTCCCCCTTCCTTGTCACTCTCTTTCTCCCCCTTCCTTGTCACTCTCTTTCTCCCCCTCCCTTGTCACTCTTTCTCCCCCTCCCTCCCTTGTCACTCTTCCCTCCCTTGTCACTCTTTCTCTCCCTCCCTCGTCACTCTCTTTCTCCCCCTCCCTCCCTCCCTTGTCACTTCTTTCTCCCCCTCCCTCCCTCCCTCCCTGTCACTCTCTTTCTCCCCCCTCTCTCCTCCCTTGTCACTCTCTTTCTCCCCTCTCTCCCTCCCTCGTCACTCTCTTTCTCCCCTCTCTCCTCCTCCTCTCTTTCTCCCCTCTCTCCCTCCTCGTCCTCTCTTTCTCCCCTCCTCCCCCCTCGTCACTCTCTTTCTCTCCCCCTTGTCACTCTCTTTCTCCCTCCCCCTCTCCCTCCCTCCCTTGTCACTCTCTCCCTCCCCCTCGTCACTCTCTCTCCTTGTCACTCTCTCCCTCCCTTGTCACTCTCTCCCTCCCTCCCTTGTCACTCTCTCCCCTCCTTCCCTCCCTCCCTTGTCCTCCCCTCCTTCCCTCCCTCCCTTGTCACTCTCCCCCCTCCCTCCCTCCCTGTCACTCTCTCCCCCTCCCTCCCTTGTCACTCTCTCCCTCCCCCCACCTCAGTTATAGCGTGGCCAAGCCCAGTATAGTCCGCGGGTACAGGTAGCTTTTGTTTCCTGTACCCGGCAGGACTAACAGGAAGTGCACTTCCTGTTAGTCCGGCCGGGTACAGGAGACAGATGCTCCCTGTACCCGCGGACCATGATACTGGGCTCGGCCACGCTACAGAGAGGGAGTGACAGGAGGGAGCGCTGAGCGCTTTCCTCCTGTCAGCCCCTCTCCTCAGGCTGCGCCCGGGCGGTGCGGTCCGCCCTCATGGACGCACCGCCCGGGCAAAGCTGCAGCCGCCTGAGGCTCTCTACAGAGCGCTCGGCGGCTGCAACATGGGGGGGCCGGCGGGGCTGGGGGGGATTTCCCCATAACCAGTCCCCCCCGCATGATTTGCTGGGGGGGATACGTCCCTCCCATCCCCCCCGGTTCCTACGCCCATGATTATAGGGTCTCAGATCCAGGCTATCCGGGGATATAAGCCTTGTGGGGGTCCCTTGTATTATTGTGTATGTTTTGGGGTGTTTAATATTTTGTGCATTGTACCTTTGTGCCTGGGAGATAATTAGTTTAAGCATAGTACACGCAATTATCTCCCAGACACAGAGACTCCGGGGAGGAGTCTGTTACCCTGCTTGTGTATAAATTGTGTGTACCATGTTCCATTAAACCAGTTCACTCCCAGCATTAAATCTCAGCTAATGTCTGTGGGGGAAAGCTATACTCACTCCAGAGCCTTAATCACATGGCAAGCTATAATCACTTAGCAGCTATATCACTGACTCAGGTGCAGCAGAGTTCCAGAGAAAGGAAAAAGGACATCCTTGGCAGCGAGACCCGTATCTCTATCTTGTTGGCCGCCACATCTGGTGGCACCGGTGGGACGGTTCTTTTTGCCATGAGTGGATACTGAACCCGGGAACTAGCTGCAGATAAGCAGATGGAGGCTGGCTACGAACAGCTAGAGCGATCCACACTAAAAGACTTGCTGGAGAGCCGGGGACAAATTGCTAGCAACCGTACAAAATGTGCTTTACTTGCCAAATTCATGGACCTGGATTGAACAAACCCTCTTGCCGAAGCAGTTTTACCAAACGTGAAAGAATCCGAACAGATGCGGGATATTCGGCTTCGCCTGGCCTTGTTCGGGCCAAACCCTCCTGCAGAAATAATCATGCAAGTATTGGCGAACGCAGTTGCCGAAGCGAGAGACAAGCGGGAATACCAACTACGCCTACTCAAAATCCAGCACACAGCCAGAACCAGGGAAGGAACCTTTTGCAGCATTTAAAGCTTTCCAAGAGGCAGAGGATGAGATTGATGGGTACGCTCTACACAAAGTACCAGAGGATGAATGGGTACCAATCCTGGCTGGGAAATTATCAGGGAGAGCTGCTGAGGAATTTCGAGCCATACCTGATGGGGAGATTCGTCAGTATAACAGAGTAAAGAAGCCTTGCTAACCAGGTATGCTGTCACCCCTGAGGCATATCGCAGGCGGTTCAGGGAATTGAGAAAGCAGGATAAAGACTCCTATGCTGAATAGGCTTGCTGCCTCCATAGAGCTGCCTCACACTTGGTAGCAGGATAGCAAGCCGTGTTGGGAGACTGGGTTGATTGGAAGTTCCTGGAGCAGAAACCTATATAGGATAACCGAGACTCATACTAGAAGGGCAGCCCCATCCCAGAAGTGCCAGCTTGTAGTTCCAAGGAAGTACAGGTTGGAACTCTTACAGATCGGACACGATGTACCTGTACCTCATAGAGTGACCCAGAACTTCTTTTGGACGGGAATCTCTAGGGTTGTTCGGCAGTACTGCCAAACCTGTAATAGGAAAGAACGTTGATCACCCCAAATCTCGGCTGCTGTCTATGCCGATCATTGAGGAACCATTCAACCAGATAGCGGTCGATATAACAGGACCCCTAGCGAGACCTAGTCCCTCCGGTAAAAAGTATATACTTGGATTACACTACTCGCTATCCCGAAGCAGTTGCCTTAAATAATATCCAGACAGAAACTCTAGAGGATGCACTGGTCCGGATATTCTCTCAGGTAGGTTTTCCCAGAGAGATCCTCTCAGACCAGGGAACCCAATTCACAGCAGATGTTACAGCTGTGGAAGGTATGTGGAATAAAACCCATCTTGAGTTCCTCCTACCATCCCCAGACTAACGGTCTCTGCAAGCGGTTTAATGGCACTCTTAAGCAAATGTTGAAAATGTTCACCGCCACTTTCAGAGACTGGGAGAGAGTCCTGCCGCATTTCTTTGTTTGCTTATTAAGAGGTACCGCAGGAATCCACTCGGTTTTCCCCCTTTCGAACTACTCTATGGGAGAAGGGTACGAGGTCCCCTCGATATCATTAGGGAGCACTGGGAAGGGGAAATTGGGCGAGAGGGGACCCCATAGTGCCATATGTACTAGAGCTCTGAGACCGCACGGAACAGTTGACTAAAATGGTAAAAGAAAACCTCCAGGCAGCCATGGGGTGACAGAAAATATGGTACGATCAGGTTACCCGACAGCGTAGTTTTCGTGTGGGACAGAAAGTGTTAGCACTAAAGCCAGTCAAAGATAAATTGCAGGCAGCATGACAGGGAACTTACAAGGTGGTGGAGCAACTATGCGTTACCACCTATGTAGTAGCCAGCTGTGCAGATGAGAAAATACAGCGCTCCTTTTACATTAATATGTTGAGAGAATATAAGGAAAGGCAGGAAGATGTAGCCTCAGTATGCACCCCAGCCTCTGATGACCCGGACAACCTTCTCTTGCCCGATCTCCTAGAAGGAGACCCCCAAACCGATCTCATCGATCAAAAACAGTTTGGGGACTGACAGTCCAGTTCAGAGACCAAACAGGCTTGTCAACTACCAGAGAGTAAGCGACAGACCTTTCCCAGGAACCAGGGTACACCACTTTGGCAGTACACAAAGTGGAAATCCCAGGTCAGACCCCACTCAGACAACCGCCCTACCTTTTACCTGAGTCAGTGCAGGGAATGCAGAAGGAGATACAAGAAATGCTCCGTTTAGGGGTAATTGAGGCTTCCGACAGCCGTGGGCTTCACCTGCAGTCCTCGTGGATGGACCTACCCACTTCTGCGTGGACTATAGGCGACTAAACAATCAGACCGTTACCAATGCTTACCCTATGCCCTGGGTGGATGAACTTCTAGATCGCATAGCCAAGGGAGGTTATCTGGCCACGATAGACCTAGCAAAGGCTACTGGCAAATTCCCCTGGCCGAGGAGGCTATCCCCAAGTCGGCCTTCATTACCCTTTTCAGCATGTTCCAGTTTTAGGTCATGCCGTTCGTGATGAAGAACGCCCCAGCCACCTTTCAGCACATGGTGGATAGGCTACTTGATGGCTTCCAGGTTTTCGTCTGTGCATACCTGGACGACATAGCGATCTACAGTGATTCCTGGGTGGAACACTTGATCCATGTAGGGACAGTGCTGGATAAAATTAGAGCTGCTGGCCTGACCTTGAAGCCTGACAAATGCCATCTTGGCATGGCAGAAGTGCAATATCTAGGACACCGGGTGGGGTGTGGGAAGCAACGACCAGAGCCTGCCAAAATTAAGGCCATCACAAACTGGCCCACACCCCGTACCAAGACCCAAGTTATGGCCTTTCTAGGGACAGTTAGATATTATAGATACTTTGTCCCTGCATTCCCATTTTGCTTACCGGGCCGGTAGTGAATAGTGAAGTAATAGCTAAACTTCACCGAAGTAATCGAGATAATTAGTTTTAGCAGAAAACACTATCTTCCAGACACAGAGACTCCGGGGAGGAGTCTTTATTGAATTGTATGGAGACCCCCTACTGGGGGTCTGTGTATAAATTGTGTGTACCATGTCCCATTAAACCAGTTCACTCCCAGCATTAAGTCTCGGCTAATGTCTGTGGGGGAAAGTTATAATTATTATTATCATTTATATAGCGCCAACAAATTCCGTAGCACTTTACAATATTATAAGAGGGGGGATTTAACTATAAATAGGACAATTACAACACAAATTACAAGTTGAAGAGGACCCTGCTCATACGAGCTTACAGTCTAAAGGAGGTATGGGAATAAAACACATTAGGACAGGAAATAGCAATCAAATAAGGTGGGAGTGAAGCAGAGCTGGAGGAGAGAGTGCTGCCCTTTAGGAGAGAGCAAGAGACAGGTATGTGAAGTAGAGGTTACTCTGGGAGGCCATAAGCTTTCCTAAAGAGATGGGTTTTAAGGCACTTCTTAAACAATTGAAGACTAGGGGAGAGTCTGATGGCGGTAGGCAGGCTATTCCATAGGAAGGGAGCCGCCCGCGAGAAGTCCTGTAAACGTGAGTTGGCCATACTGGTGCGAGCAGCGGACAGGAGAAGGTCACGGGCAGAGCGGAGAGACAAAGAAGGGGTATATCTATGGATCTGTGAAGAGATATAAGAGGGGCTAGAATTGTTCAGTGCTTTATAGATATGGATTAGCACATTGAATTGACTCCTATAGGATACAGTAAGCTAATGTAAGGACTGACAGAGGGGTGAGGTGTGAGAGGACCGACTAGAGAGGAAATAAGTCTGGCGGCAGCATTCATTACAGACTGCAGCGGGACAATACAGCTTTTGGGAAGACCAATTAGGAGAGGGTTACAATAATCCATGTTGGAAATTACTAGAGCATGTACAAGCTCCTTGGTAATTATTTTTTTATTATTTATATAGCGCCAGCAAATTCCATAGCGCTGTACAATGGGTAGCATCTTGCGTAAGAAAGGGGCAGATGCGGGCTATGTTTTTAAAATGGAATCTACAGGATTTGGCAACATACTGGATGTGAGGCTCAAAGGTGAGGCCAGAATAAAGTACGACGCCAAGGCAGCGTGCTTGCAAGGATGGATTTATGTGGGTTTATGAGATCCTTTATGGCTGCCTAAAATGCATCCAAACATTCAGTATATCCTCCCTCTGCATGCAGACACAGAACTTTCCTCAAAGAGATTCATTGATTCAATTCATCTCTATGAGGAGATGCTGATTGGCCAGGGCTGTGTTTGAATCATGCTGGCTCTGCCCCTGATCTGCCTCTTTGTCAGTCTCAGCCAATCCTATGGGGAAGCATTGTGATTGGACAAGGCTACCACTTCTGATGATGTCAGCAGACTGCTTGTTTTTCTGAGGCAAACAGCATGCAGAGTTACAGCTTCAGGCTTGAATACAGTAAGATTTAGCTATATTTATGGAGGCATGAGAGGCCCAAGGGGGCTAGATAGTGGTTTTAACACTATAGGGTCAGGAATAAATTTGTGTTCCTTACCCTATAGTGATCCTTTAAACCCCTTCAGTCCCTTACCTGAATCCCTCGGCGCTGGGTCAGGATCCGCCCACGTTCCTCTGGCTGATGTTGGCGAGGGAGAGCTAATGCGCATGCACGGCAATGGCCTCATGAGCACTGTAGGATTACTTAAAGGACCACTATAGGCACCTAGACCACTTCAGCTCAATGAAGTGGTCTGGGTGCCAGGTCCCCCTCATTTTAAGCCTGCAGCTGTAAACATAGCAGCTTCAGAGAAACTGCTATGTTTACATTGAGGGTTAATCCAGCCTCTAGTGGCTGTCTCCCAGACCACAGAATTTCAAATTACTGGGGTCACTTCGATGGTGTTCTTTTAGGTGTCTCGAAATTGGTGTTTCAAGGCGATTCTTGGGGGACCTTACATGTTCCATAATCCTTTCTTTAAAGGCTCTAAAAGTCTTGCCTACGTACAGGAAGATATTGCACAGTATCGCCGGGTGAAGGCTGCACTGCTCACCCGATATGCCGTCACCCCGGAAACGTATCGCCGTCGCTTCAGGGAGTCTAAAAAGAAGGCTGCAGACTCCCACATGGAATGGGCAAACAAGATACAAAGGGTGGCATCACATTGGGTACGAGGGTGCAATGCCAACACCGGAGAGGAAGTACTACAGCTATTCCTAATGGAACATTTCTTCCAAGATCTGGCAGCAGACATACAGGATTGGGTGAGAGATCGTCGCCCTGCTAACTTAATCGAGGCAGCGCGGCTAGCGGACGAATACGCAGAGTCGAGAAAGGTGAGCCAAGGGTCCACACGACCAACCTCTAGGGCAGAGCCACGCACCTCAACGCCCGCTGCACGCACAGAATTTCGAGCCCCAGTACCCCCAGGACCCCCACGTCCTCAGGGGTCTAACAACCAACCCCGGGATGCTTACAAAATTACGTGCCATCGCTGCGGCAACACGGGACATATTGCTCGTTATTGCCCCTTGGGATCAGCCAATAACAACTGGAGGCAATCAACCAATAACACAGAGACCCCTTCATCACGCACCTCTGCTGCTCACTGCCTGGAAACCGAAGGGAGCCCTGAGGAGTGTTTGGGCATCCTATACGAGGCAAACCCCATACAAGCTGCATCCCCAGATAACCGCCAGCATCACCGCCAGGAGGTGCGTGTAAATGGGCAGGTGGCACAAGGCCTAAGGGACACGGGCGCTACCATCACTTTGGTGCAGAAACATCTTGTGAAACCGGAGCATGTATCTACACGCACTGTTGCTGTCCGTGTCGCAGGGGGGGCTGTTTTTCGTTTACCCACTGCCCGGGTACACTTGGATTGGGGAGTCGGGTCGGGAAAGACCACAGTAGGAATCATGGACAATTTATCTGCTGAAGTCGTGTTGGGCAACGACATTGGCCCTCTGGCTTCAGCTTATCTACCCACGAATGCTGCTGCCTGTCCCGTGACCACCCGCTCACAGACCCGTATCGAAGACGATCCTCCAGCAGACCGGGAGACCCAGGTAAACCACAAACAGACACTCAGCCCTAACACGGTAGAAAGACCCATAGCTTGGGACACCCCAGAGGAGTTTGGGAGGGAGACTAGACAGGACCCCACTCTCCAAAAGTATCGGGAATTAGCCGACAGTGGGGGGGATGAGCGGGAACGTTTTATATGGGAAGGTGACAGATTATACAGGTTGACACAAGGTAGGAGGAGAGGCTGTATCCCTTCACAGAAGCGCCAACTAGTGGTACCCAGAAAGTACCGGTTGGAACTTCTCCGAATTGGACATGACATTCCGTTGGCAGGACACTTAGGGGGTAACCGCACCGCCTACAGGATCACACAGACCTTTTTCTGGCCTGGGATCTCAAAGGACGTGCGGCGTTACTGCAGTACCTGTGATACATGCCAACGAGTAGGAAAGAGAGGGGACCACCCTAAAGCTCGACTGTCACCCATGCCCGTGATTGAGGAACCGTTTAGCCGGGTGGCAGTCGATCTAGTGGGACCCCTACCTAACCCCAGTCCCTCGGGTAAGAAGTATATTCTTACAGTAGTGGACTATGCTACCCGCTACCCAGAGGCTGTCGCTCTGACGAATATCCAGGCTGACACTGTCGCCAGTGCCCTAGTTGGGATATTCACCAGAGTGGGATTCCCTCAGGAAATCCTATCCGACCGAGGGACCCAGTTCACCGCAGACCTAACACAACAGTTGTGGAAGGTCTGTGGTGTCAAGACCCTGCTCAGTTCCCCGTACCACCCCCAGACTAACGGTCTCTGTGAGCGCTTTAATGGTACCCTAAAGCAATTGCTGCGGACCTTTACAGCGGAATACAGAGACTGGGAGCGATTCTTGCCGCACCTCTTGTTTGCATATCGAGAGGTGCCCCAGGAATCCACAGGGTTCTCTCCCTTCGAGCTGCTCTATTGACGGCGAGTGCGAGGCCCCCTCGACCTCATCCGAGAGCACTGGGAGGGAGAGATGGAGCATGAGGGCGTTCCTATCGTACCTTATGTACTGGAGATGCGGGACCGCATGGGGCACCTAGCCAGAATGGCCCGAGAACATCTCCAGGCAGCCCAGGGCCATCAGAAACACTGGTATGATCGGGGCGCCCGGCTGAGAACGTTCCAAGTAGGTCAGAAGGTTCTGGTACTTAGACCGGTCAAGGGAAACAAGCTACAGACCTCCTGGCAAGGCCCTTACAAGGTAGTGGCCCAGATATGTGACACCATATGTGATAAGAAACCAGCTAACTTGTTTTTCCAAAAATGTTATCTATATTTTAAAATGTCCTTGTGACCTTATATATGTAGGAAGAACAATTAGAAATGTACATATAAGGATTGAAGAACATATCAGAAATATAAAAAAAGGGTTGGACACACATAGTGTCTCCAATCATTTTAATTTGTATCACAATAAAGACCCAAAAAAGATGTCCTTTTGCGCAATAAAAGTAGTACATAGAGATTGGAGGGGGGGCGATTTTAATAAAAAAATTGGGGAAGAGGAGATGAAGTGTATTTACAACTTAAAAACACTAATCCCAAATGGACTCAACCAAGATTTTGAGTTATGCCACTTTTTATAAATTAACTTTTTATAAATTAACTTTTTATAAATTAACTTTTTATAAATTAACTGATAGTTTTAAGAAAGAAGAAAGAATAAGGATAAAACTCTCTTTTAATATAGTATATTATTATTAATTTTTTTTTATTATTTTTTTTTTAGCAGAAAGATATTAAATTATTGTAGATATTCCACCACTTGCATATGCACTTTGGTAATTTTTGCATGGTCACTTTATGAAAAATTCAAGAAAACTAGAAAGATTTTAAATTACTGTAGGTATTTATTACCTGTATATTTACCACTTGGCATGGTCACTTCATGAAAAATTCACTGTCCTTTAAAAATTCACTGTATTTTTTAAATTCACTGTTTTTATAAAAAGAGCATGGTCACTTTAAGAATCGGGAATTTGAATATATGGTTGTATTCAAGCTAGAATATGTCAAGGTGATATAATTGATATTTGTTATGATTGGTTATATTTCAGTTGAATTAATATGTTAAGGTGACAAATTGATGCTGATTAATATTGATGCTGATTTCGATACATATCTAAATATATCCTTGTCCCTATATACATGAGATATGGTGTGTGGAGATAGTCCAAGAAGAATTTTGGGACACATGTTTGTGCCCTATTATGTGAACTGAAAGTATATGCAGCTCTACGATGTGGACCAGTGGGAGCGTTGGAACGCATATATGCGTTCCATTGGAATGTCCCGTTGTGAAAGCCGGAGACAGCAGAATGAGTGGAGCGCACTATGCGTTCCACTCAGAGAGAAACCCCGGAAGTGATAATGCGGAAGTGACGTCACATAATGGCCGCCGCCGGAAGCAGGAAATTAATACAAACGGAGATTTGGAACGCATGAATGCGTTCCACAACGGATTTTGGCGCAAAATACAAGGTATTGAGGACTTATATAAAGACATTATCTGGACAAGTATTGTTAGAAGCTGACTGAGGAAGCCACAATTGGCGAAACGCGTATTGGCTTACTACTTTGTACTTATTTTTTATTCTTCCATATTTTATTATTTTACATATATATTTTAGTAATAAAGTTACTTTTCATTCCATCCTCTGGATCCTCTTCTACTTATTGGAGATCTCACCAGCTACAGAAGGGTCAGGATCACCCTATAATAGATCCAGAAATCATCTATACCAGAGCCAGGTCCCTTGGCTCTGATTTTGTGAGTGTTTCCTTGCACTTATTGCACTTTAATACATATTGTGAACTGTCTACACTATTTTGTATATTTCTCTATCTCTGCAGTAATATATTGGAGAAGAGAAAAGAACAAGAATTGCTCCATCCATTGTGTTTGTATTGCAGATATGTGACACCACCTATGTAATTGCCAGTAGCCAAGACGAAAGGGTCCAGAAGTCCTTTCATGTCAATTTGTTAAAAGAGTACCAAGAAAGGCCCGAAGATATAGCGGCCATATGTATCCCGGCCACTGAAGACCCTGACAGTCTCCCCATCCCGGATCTGTTAGCAGACTCCGAGCCTAAAACTCTGCTTAATACAGTGCAGCTGGGGGAGCGGTTAACTCCCACAGAAAGGGAGCAACTCCAACAATTGCTAGCTGAGAAAGGATTGACATTCTCTCAGGAGCCAGGTTACACACCCTTAGCGACACATTATGTGGAGACACCAGGACAGACCCCACTTAGACAGACTCCCTATAGAATCCCTGAGGCTGTAAAGGAGGAAATGAGAAAGGAGATTCAGGAGATGCTAAGACTTAGAGTCATAGAACCGTCCGACAGCCCCTGGGCCTCCCCAGTTGTCCTAGTCCCCAAAAAGGACGGGACGACCAGATTCTGTGTCGATTATCGACGCCTCAATGATAGGACCGTGACAGACGCCTACCCCATGCCCCGGGTAGACGAACTATTAGATCGTATTGCCAGGGGACGCTATCTGACCACCATCGATCTGTGCAAAGGGTACTGGCAGATCCCCCTGGCCAAGGACGCTATCCCTAAGTCGGCGTTTGTCACCCCATTTGGCTTGTACCAATTTAAGGTCATGCCATTCGGGATGAAGAACGCCCCAGCTACATTTCAGCGCTTAGTGGATCGCCTCCTTGATGGCTTCCAGGAATTCGCATGCGCATACCTGGATGACATTGCGATCTATAGTGAGACTTGGGAAGACCATTTGAGACATGTAGAGGCTGTGCTGGATCAGATTAGGGCCGCAGGCCTAACTCTGAAACCAGAGAAGTGTAATTTCGGAATGGCCGAAGTACAGTACTTGGGACACAGGGTAGGGTGTGGGAAACAGCGACCAGAACCCGCGAAGGTAGAGGCTGTAGCCAACTGGCCCACACCCCACACCAAGACCCAAGTACTGGCATTCTTAGGGACAGCAGGATATTACAGGAAATTTGTCCCTGACTACAGCACCATCGCCAAACCCCTGACAGATTTGACAAAGAAAAATTTGCCAAGAGTAGTCCTGTGGTCTCCCGCCTGCGAAACAGCATTCCAAACCCTGAAACAAGCCCTGATCAACGCACCGGTTTTGTCTGCCCCCGTCCCTAACAAAAGATTTGTTGTCCATACAGATGCGTCCATGTACGGACTGGGGGCAGTTCTGAGCCAGGTCAGGGAAGATGGAGGGGAACACCCTGTCGCGTACCTGAGTAGGAAACTATTACCTCGGGAAGTGAGTTACGCGGCAGTGGAAAAGGAGTGTCTAGCCCTGGTTTGGGCCCTAAAGAAGCTCACCCCATACCTCTACGGCCAAGAATTCACACTGATCACAGATCATAACCCCCTAGTCTGGCTGAACCGAGTGGCTGGGGACAATGGACGATTACTAAGATGGAGCTTGGCACTACAACCATACAACTTCTCCATTCAGTATCGCCCTGGCCGGTTTAATGGGAATGCAGACGGACTGTCCAGGCAAACGGAACTTTTACCTTGACTAAGACCGGACAGCCGTTCGCATGGTTCAGACGAATCCCTTTGTCTCAGAATAGGTGGCCGCCATTTCGGGACTTTACACGTGTTCGCGGCCATCTTACGCATGAACGGCGGTGTTTGCCTGTGAACGCATGGAACTAAAAACGGATACGCAAACAGGCGAACACCGCTGAGACCTCCAGGAGCTCGTAAGTTCGTGCTGAAACTACCGAACGACAGGACTCCATTACTACACAGCAGCTTGCACAGAAAAGGACATCTCCAACGGCAGATACCCCTCTACAGCTGGGTAGCCGTTACAGAAGCGGCAGGATTTGGCGATAGACTAAAAGTGAGGCGCGAAGGAGAGGTTGGAGTCAAAGAGAACACCTAGGCAGCGAGCCTGCGTGGTGGAGCTGATGGTAGCACTGTCGACTTGGAGGGAGACAGACACAAGAGTAGCAACACTTGAGGGAGGAAAGACAAGAATTTCAGTTTTGGTCAAGTTGAGTTTAAGGAAGTGGGCAGCCATCTAGTTAGAAATAGCAGAGAGGCAGTGAGAGATACTAGTCAAGTGGGGCGGGGAGAGATTAGATAGATTTGCATGCCATCTGCATAGAAATGATATTGGAAGCCAAAAGAGCTAATGAGTTTACCAAGGGAGGAAGTATAGATAGAGAACAGTGGAGGACTAAGGACTGAACCTTGAGGGACAGCAACAGAGAGGAGTTGGGGAGAAGCAGAGCAAGAGAAAGAAACACTGAAATAGCGCTGGGAGAGGTAGGAGGAGCACCAGGAGAAAGCAATATCTTGTTGACCGATATTACGGAAGATGAGAAGAAGCTGTTGATGATCAACAGTGTCAAAAGCTGCAGAAAAGTCGAATTAGGACAGGAGGGGAGGAGAGAGCACTGAGGGACAGGAGGGGAGAACACTGAGGGACAGGAGAGAAGAGAGATCACTAACTGACAGGAGGGGAGAGCACTATGCATCCTTACACATAGACAGAAACTCACAATGCATCCATACACACACACACCGAAACATACAATGAATCCCTACTCATACACAGACACACTGAAACACACAATGCATCCCTTACATATACACACACTGCTTCTCTTACACACACACACACACACACACACACACAAACAAAATGCATCTCTTGCACACACACAATGCACCCCTTACAAACACACACTGCATTAAATTACGTACACAGAAACACACCTTGCATCCATTACACACACACCTAGAAATATACAATGTATTCCGTACACACAAACACACACTGCATCCCTTACAAATTGGTATCCCTATACACTATATTCCATACAAACACACACACATTACATCCTCTACATTAACACAACACATCCCGTACACAGATACACTCCACTCCCTGTGTGAAAACTAATGGGTGGGCCATTTAGGTGGATTTATGGGTGGGCCTTGTAAGCATACTCATGGTCAGGCCTTGGGGGCCCAGACCATGAGCTGTGTAAGGGGCCCCAAAAAATGGAGCTGCTTCCTGTTCATTAATTGTTGTGAGCACTGTTACAAACAGTCTCCAGAGAGCCTCTTCTACACTAGACCTGTGGAGCCAGACTGCAGCCCATCATCATCCTCTTGTCCTCATCTGGTGGTAAGTAGGCAATCCAATATATTATTAGTGACACTAATCTCTAATTTACCTCACATTAAAGGGCCACTATAGTCACCAGAACCACTACAGCTTAATGTGCCTGCAGGCTTTTTCATGTAAACACACTGCCTTTTCAGATAAAAGACACTTTGTGCAGAACTGGTGTTGGCCCATATGGCAGAGCATATGGGTGGGGCATTGTGATGTAACATGATGGGCAGGATATATGGGGTGGTGGAGGCAAATTTTTGTTTGCCTAGGGCGGCAAAAATCCTTGCACCAGCCCTGGTTGGGGATGAGTGATGTGGGTGTAAGGAGAGATTTTTACATTGAGGGAGAAGGAGAAGATGAAGAGGAGGAGAAGACAGCTAAACTGGGAAAAAGTAAATTGGAAATAATTGGAATATCAAGAGCAGGTGAAGGTAGGGTAAATATAAAGTTTTATGGGTTAAGAAAGTGCAGGAGTGTACTAGTAAGAGACAGTGTGCATGTCCCCCCCCCCCCCCACCATCATGCAATGCCTTCCCTTGTTCCCCCCCAATTGAAATTGAAGTCAGGAGCACTGAGTCTCCCTGCGCAGGCTGCAGCAGTGCTGTCACTGTGGAACCATGTTCCACCCTTTTCCCACGTGTGGCCATAGGGGGCACTGTCCTGGGAGGACTTCCTCCTGGGTCACGGAGAGCAGAGCAGGGGAGAGAAGGGGAGAAGAAGCTCAGCTCTGCACAGAAGCATCCTCCATCCCCCCTAACCATGTCACTGCCCCTCCATCCCCCTACCCCCTGATACTACCCCCTACACCCTGTTACTGCCCCTCGACCCCACTTGCCCTCTGTTACTGCCAATTCATCCCCCTATCCCCTTTCACTGCCCCTTCTCCGATCACCCCCTGTCACTGCCCCTCCATCCCGCTACTGTCTGATACTGCCCCATCCCCTGTCACTGCCCCTCCACCCCCCCCAACCATGTCACTGCCCCTCCATCCCCAGTGTCACTGCCCCCATACCCCCTAACCCTCTTACTGTCCCTCCTCCCCCTACTCTGTCACTGCCCCTCTACCCCTGTCACAGCCCCTCCTACCCACTGTCATACCCCCTCCATCCCCCTACACCCTCTCACTGCCCTTTCACCCCCAATACCACCTGTGACTGTCACAACCCACCTTACTGGCTGTGGGATGACAGCCACCCACACCCTGTCACCCTTCCACCCACACCCTGTCACCCCTCCACACACACTCACCCTGTCACAGCCACTCCACCCCCACCCTGTCACAGCCCCTCAAGCCCCCAAACCATGTCACAGCCTCTCCAGCCCCCTTACTCTGTCACAGCCCCCGTACCATGTCACAGCTCCCACACCCACCCTGTCACAGCCACCCACACATTGTCACAGTCCCCACCCCATCCTCTCACAGCCCCCACCCTGTCACAACCCCCCTACCTTGTCACATTTCACCTTACTGGCTGTGGGTTGACAGCCCCCACCCTGTCACCCTTCTGCTCAAACCCTGTCACCCCTCCACACACACCCTGTCACAGCCCCTCCACCCCCTACCCCCTGTTACTGCCCCCCATCCCCTCTGTCACTGCCCCTCCAGCCCCCTACACAGTCACAGCCACTCCACCCCCCACCGTCACAGCCCCTCAAGCCCCCACACCATGTCACAGCCCATCCAGCCCCCTTACCCTCTCAGAGCCCCCCTACCATGTCACAGCCACCCACACATATTGTCACAGCCCCCCCACCCTGTCACAGCCTCCCAACCTGTCACAGCCCCGCCAACCTGTCATAGACCCCCCCTAGCCTGTCACAACCCCCCTTACTGACTGTGGGATGACAGTCCTGTCAGATACTTTTGTGTTCAGCAAAGTCTCCCGAGTAAAAGAGTATCCCCCATGTACAGGTTTTAGGGAGTCTTAGAAAGTTACAGGGTTAAATATAGTGCTAGTAAATTAAATTCTCTGGACTTTCTGCCTGGGTTATCAGGCAGGTCCTGGAAATTGTAATTAATAAAATGACCTAATTATGTAAAAATATTACATAAATATATAAGTAGAATTAATATATTTACAGTTGCAAGAAAAAGTATGTGAACCCTTTGGAATGATATGGATTTCTGCACAAATTGGTCATAAAATGTGATCTGATCATCATCTAAGTCACAACAATAGACAATCACAGTCTGCTTAAACTAATAACAAACAAAGAATGAAATGTTGCCATGTTTTTATTGAACACACCATGTAAACATTCACAGAGCAGAGCAGTCCGGGCCCCCCAGGGCCGCCAGGCCCGTGACAATAGTCACGGTTGTCACCCCCTGATGGCGGCCCTGGTGTGGGGGAACAGTGTGTATGTGTGTCAGTCTGTGGGTTTGTATGGGTCAGTCTGTGTAAGTGTGTACACTTGAGGTCACTTGCGGTCAGATCTGATTGTGTCACCCCCTCCCTGAAAGGTAAGATCAGGGAAAGGCGAATATTTTTAATTTTTAAAAAAAAAACAATTATTAAAGTAAAAATTGTTAAGCTCTTCCCTATCCCACTCTCTACACCCTCCTGAACACAGTACACCGTCACAGACAGGGAATCCCCCACATACACATACTCCCACCAACACAGAGTACACCTTTGCATACACACGCAGTGCACCCCTCACACACATCATCTCTTCACCCACATACACACTTCTTCCCCACATTCCTTCACTCCCACACATACATGCATGCTTCACCCCATTACACACCATTCCCATAGAAATCACAAATTTGCAGTGATGTCACTACCGCAAAGGATTCTGGGTGGGCATATGCAGATTTTTGTTTAACATTGTATTAACTATCCACAGACTTCAGGTGGAAGGGGTTTTCAATCACATTTTTTTCCCCACCATAATCTTTTTGGTTTTTGCTAGCACACGCACACACTTTACAGGTCAGCACACACACAATCTCAAAAGCTCCTATACACAATGCAGCCTAGTACATAAACTAACCCCATTCAACCCCCCAATAACGACAGAACACGTAGTATGGATGAAACAGGCCACAGCATTTATTATCACAAACTAAATTTCTGCATAACACACCCATAACTTTATTTATTAAATCTCTTCTTTTACTGTAACCAAAAACGTTAGACATAAATAGGCATAAATTAACATTTATACATATGACTCCACACATAGTGTTATACAGTGACTCAACCATCCTTGCCAATAAACATACGGTGATTCCTAATCACCACTTCCTCTCACCTCCCCCCTCGTCATAAAATCATATCTTTCCAATGCCCGCCACCAGCCGACCTTATCCACGCTCGATAGGCACGACACCTCAGGTAATCTAATGTTAACCGTTTGAAGGGGAGGTTGAGACATTAAAAACGTGTTCATCTCATTCCATATATTTAAACGTAACCCCTCAAACTCAATTGGCAAGGACATACTCCCACCACAACCCCGCTGTTTTACACCTAAAATCAGCAGGGGAGCCCACCACAACCAGCCATGGCCTGTTCCACCACTTCTTGCAGCGCTAGATTAACATAGGCCTAGTCCGACCTCCAGCAAGCGCATACATCCCCTCGAGATAACTAGGTCACATCTGGCCAAACCCTAAGTCGATCTGGAATCCCCCAAGCCCCCAAGACAAACCTAGAAACCCATCTCGTCCGATTTCCGACGGCAGCGCACCAGGGCACTCACATTGCTGAGCGCACTGCCAACAGGAACGGGCAATAGCCCAGCCCCTGAGAACCTCTGGGAAGAAACAGAATGCTTAAAATGTGCAGATTTAAGAGCACCCAAATCCCAAACCGTCACCAAACCCAGGTCATTCCACCCAGAGATAAAAAAAACCCTGGTACCCCCAGGAGGCGGGACAGCTGACCCCGGATGAGGAGGAGCCACACCCCCCTCATGAATCTGGTGCCAGACCACCGAACCTCCGCTTCCGAAGGCGTAAGATCCAACCACTCGCCCCTGCCTCCTGGCCCAAATTACATATTAGCATCCCACCATCTCTATTCCGGGGGGGTGGGGGATGACCGTAACCGCGGAGAGAAAGACATTCGGAGACCGGCAGGGTGAACCCAAGGAACCTACCACCCTGACCCCCACCATTCAAGCCCTTTGAAACAGTGGCGCAAGCCCAGAAGGAAACCCCATACAGCCCCAAGGGCAACACCGACAGGCAAAGCCCAGCTTACCCAGGAGAGGCCACGGGTAGCGCAGCTGAAACCACCAACACCCCCAAAACCACCGACACCTCCCACCGTATGTCCTAAACCGCAGTCCGGGGCAACCGACGTTCCCCGGCCAGAATCGATCCCACTATCCAGGAGACTACCGTGCGTATCCCGACCCACGGAACTCTGAAACACTACCACAAGAAAAACACCACAGCAGCCGAGCGCGACACTGTAGGCCCCACACATAGGCGACATTAAGAGCCACCCGTGCGGAGGCACATAGCCACATAACACTGACTGTCAGAAATACGGCCTGCAAAACAATAACCTGCCTGTCGCATCGGCAGCAACCGGAAAGCCAATTCCAGTGCTGCCTTTGTCAGCAAGGCCCCAGAGCCCTGCAGCCCTAACCACGCGGACCGTTGTGTCATGCCCTCCCATACCTAACCCCTTGGAGGGAACGACAACTGAGTAAATAAGAAATCATGCAATATTGACCCTGCCCCTCTATGGGCACCATAACCCAAGAGGGGGAACCGCGGAGCGGACTTCGGGGGCACCCTAAAATTGGTCGGGAGGAAGTCTCATATGGGCCGAAAGGTCCTGCTCGTCCCCTATCCCGACAGATTGCCCGCAAGAAAAACCGCGGGGGACGGGATGGGCCCCCCTGCGACCGGAGCCCTCGTGCTGGAACAGACAAGGACCCCATTTTCAGTTTTTGTTTTTTTTTATGCCACCAACACAGCTCACCGTAGGAACGACATGCGTCCCACAGAGTGTCCTGACCGCAGAACGTGGAGCATACCTGGGGAGCCCTCTCCCCGACAATGTTATCCAGAACATACGATGCCCTGACACATTTCCCGCGCATTATGGGGTGCAACCGATTACAGTATTTACCCCCCACGCCCCTCCTGGAGTCCCTCCCAAGCACCCTAACCGCCCGCCTCCTGGGAGGCAACGCCAGCGCTATTAGCTGCGCTAGATTATAACATATGATAAATACTGATAAAAGGGAGGGGGGGGGTTAAATAACCGGAGTGGACTCCCTGGTAAGCGGCATCCAGGTACCGTTTTTTGTGAATCTTTTATTTCTCATTCTATTCAGGTTTTTTTTGTTAGTTTTTTTAATTTGTATTTAATCATTTTTTTTAAATCTTTTACTTCACATGCTATCCATGTATTCATTCAGTTTTATTTATTTATTTGACATTTCCAAATTTAAATTTTTTTTTTTTTTTATTATTTTTTTTTTTGCGCGCGCTAAGACCCACTCCCCCCTAGCTCTATAGGGATCCGACTGTATACAAGAAGGAACAACGTACTCACCAGCCAATGCCCGGTGCACCACCCGCGGCATAACAAGCGTAGAAGTCCAGGCAGAAGACATTGAAATCAGCTTCCACTGCTTCCACAGCTTCTATGAACTGCAGCCAGGACCTGTGAGAATGGCATGGAGAGGACGTGCCACCAGGAGGCAGCCGAGGTAAGTAACCAGCAGAGAGAAGAACAGAAGGCAGAGAGAGAAGGGCAGAAGGCAGAGAGAGAAGAACAGAAGTCAGAGAAGATCCAGGAACAGGTAAGAGCATTGGAAGGGGGCTGGGGGGAGAAGGGGGATGGGGGGAGGGAGGTCATAGAGGAGAGAAACAGAGAGAGAGGAAGGGGCAAGAGAACAGAGAGAAGGGAAAATGGAGGGAAAGAAAAGAAGAAAAAACACGAAACGCCAACTGGGGGGGACCAGTCCAGAGACAAAGAAGGGGGGGAGAAACTGAAAAAAAGAGGGGGTGCAGGGGAGAGAGACCCCCGGGGCGCCATCCTCACTGGCAAAGGAGGCCCCCAGGAGATGTCCCCCCACATCCCCAACGGCATCGGGGCAGTCCCATCTCGGCCCCGCAGGGCTCACTCACCGCCGGTGCCCCATCCCAGGCCCCGCAGTCGCGCCCCGTCAGAAGGCCTTTGGCCGGCCACAGAGGGCGCAGGATGTGCCTCCCGCCTCTTACAGTTTCCGGCGCGAATCTCAACGCCAGAGGCCGCAGCCCGTGATCTGGCTGCAGGAGGGGGAGGCTGCAAGTCCTGCGCGGCGGTAGTAGGCCGTGCATCCTCGCGGCAGCTGTAGGCCGCTTGTCTGGAGCCTCAGACACGCGGCCAGGAGAAGCCTCGGGCCCCGGTTACACCTCCTCAACCGGGCCCAAGGAGCAGCACTGGGGGGGTAGCGGAGCCGGCGGGCTGGAATGCCGGCCGACACCATCGCGGCCCCCAGGAGCAGGGGCCACAGGGAAGGCCCCAGAGGGACACAGGCTGCAGGGGGGAGCACCCACACCGGCAGCCACCCAGGGGAGAGGAGAGTACCTGAGTCAGGAGTCACCGGCCACCAACCACGCTAGAGCAGCTTGGAGGGAAGCCAGTAGGCCTCAATCTCATCCCTCAAGCTGGTAAACCTGCAGGCCCAGGCAAACAGGAGCAGGAGGACAGGAAGCTGCTTGCTGGCCCGAATCCCAAGTGGCACTAAGTGGCACTAACATAAGACCTCCCCCACACTAACTTACACAGAACATAATCCCACCCACACACTCTTTCCCAACCAATACCATGCATGCATCTATCCCCACACTCATACATGTGCCCTTGTCCGCTTAGCTGCGCTATCTCCCCAGGGCCTCTACAGCCCCTAGTTACACATAGTGCGCCATAAACAGACTCCTATATACACACACTTCACCACTGCCCCTTCTAAACACCATGGAACATTATCTTGCATCTCCTGAAAAGGTTTTCCTGTTTCCGTGAAAAGGTGTGTTGCCTGTAATAAGGCAGGCGCAGCAGTGGAACTACAGGGAGTGCTGGTGTTGTGGTTACACCGGGGCCTATCGAGTGGCCCGTGCAATTAGGGTCACTCGATGGGCATGTGTCTTTAGGGGGCCAAAAACACTTTTTGCAACAGGGCCCACTCTACGTTAGTTCCGCCACTGTGCAGCAGCTTCTGCAGCACACAAGCTCTGCCCTGCATGGAAGATCGCCTCCCCATACGCAAGCTCAGTCCTTAATCTCTGACTGAGACACACACTGACAGACATACAGTGACAGGCACACACTCTCTGACTGAGACACACACTGACTGAGACACACACACATTTTCTCACAAATTGCTATTTTTATTTTAATTTAAATCCTCCCTACCTTTGGAAAAGCTGAATGGATCTTTCCCTGGCGTCCAGTGTGTCTCCTCTCAATCTTCCTGCAGTTTCTCTCTGCTCCCCTGTGCGCTCTTTGTAGGAGTGACGTCATGTCACTAAACAGTGCGCAAGGTAGCAGAGAGGAACAGCGGGAAGGTTACTGCTCCCTTGTGCGCCGCCTCCATGCTCCCCATGGCAGCTGGCTTTAATGTTTCCTGCGAGGCTTAGCAAAGGGCTGCCAGGTGAAAATGTCTAGTTGCCATGGCACCTGGATTTTATCGAGCCCTGTGTATGTATGTATTTGTGTATGTGTATATATAAATATTATAAACACATTTTATAACTGCCCCCCTACTTTTGTCCCTGGCCCCTTATGTACCCCCTCCCAAGTATGAATCCTGGAGATGCCACTGCCTATTAAACAGTAAAATGAACATTAAATACCTGGGTGATCACCAAGCCCACATTGCTACTTGCAAAGGTCTTTGCTCAGCTTCTGACTGAAAAATCTGCCTAAATGGTTGAATTTACAGCTTTCATCCAACAGGAGGGGGGAGATCAGAAACACAGTGAAAGATTGTACACACTGGATCCTAGTAAATGAAAGACAAAAGACTGGGAAGCGCCTTCCTGGTTGCCTGCCAGCAGCTAGCTCTGTGACTGGCCTCCCTGCTCATTCCTCTCACTGCCTCACAGCATTTTATACACAGGAAGCAAAACATGGCACCAAATTTGGTTCCCTTACATCTATGCATTTCAATGCGAAATTCTGAATAAGTAACCAGGCATTTCCAATTGAAATGCATGGGTTTTTTGAAAGCCAAGTTTTAAGATCAATATAGTTTGTTGTTTTGGAAGTTATTGTTTAGTAAATAATGGTTTTCATGAAAAAGAAGCTGGATGACCACAAAGCCAATCTGAATAAGAAGCCAACATCAGCATCATGGAGCCGTTATACTAGTGACTGTCCCCCTCCCTGCATTTGCATATTCCTTAAAGGTACACTCTAGGCACCCAGACCACTTCTGCCCATTGGAGTGGTCTGGGTGCCAACTCCCACTACCCTTAAAACTGCAACTGTAAATATTGCAGTTTTCATAACTGTTTTGGCCAATCAGGACCTCCTCATAGAGATGCATTGAATCAATGCATCTCTATGAGGAAAATTCTGCGTCTCCATGCAGATCACAGAAAACTGAGTAAATGAGAAGCGAGCCAAAGTCAGTAACCAGAGAATGAACCACAATACAAACATGCTATTGGGCTATGAAAGACCACTACAGGGCACTGAGGCAAGGGGGTAGGTGAACTTATATACACACAGGGTGTGTCTGATTGGCTAACTTCCCGTTAGTGTTAATTACAACACGTGGGACATGTCTTTTCCCTCTCTTGTGATCAGTGAGGTCATCACTGTGTGCCGGGTCACATGACTGGTTCCGACACACATAAAAGGAAGCTGCCTTGGAGCGTGCAGCCTCAGAAACACTGTCAGGTTGGGGAGTGGCAGCAGGGACAGCTGCAAGCTGTGGACAGGAACCAGAAGAAGCCGCTCGCGGTGATGGGGTAAGTAAGGACGATGTGAGCGGCGCAGGGGCAGGGGACCTGACACATGGTTGAATAAAAGAGGTTTCAAGTTGACGCATAATAACATGTATGATTGTAGTAAAGTTATAAATATATTCGATAATCGGGTTTTCAAGTCCACCGTTATGCCTTTTTTTTAGATAAAATAGAGATAGTAAATCTAGCTTTTCTTGCGGTGCCAAATAAATGTAGAAAAAGATGATTGGACTAAATTTAGCCAGTGGAGTGCAACTTTGATTGGTAGATTGCTAAACAAATATAGCCATTTGGGGATTATATAGCAATTTATTGTATTAATTCTCCCAGTTAGGATATCTCGAGGTGTTCCCAATTGTTTAGTAAATGATTTGTTTCTTTTAGAAGAATCAGAAAGTTTCTTTCTATCAGATCTTCAACTATTTGATATATTATTAGTCCAAGATAAGAGAATTGAGAATTGAGTGTGTCACATGTTAAGTGACATAATGCAATATACGTTGATATTTAGTGGACGATACCTGCCTGGAAGGAGAGCTGCAGCCTGGTCAGGTGGAAAAGCTCCAGTAGAACCCCAGTCAAGCTGCTGCAACTGGGGCACAAGCACTTCAGGTCTCCGAGCATGGCGGAGGTACCCAGCCAGGGTACAGGGAGCTCCGTCACAGGAACTATATGCATTTTAAAGATATTTTAAATATAATTTTGTTGTTCAAATATTTTTTATTTCAGTTGTCTTCATGTTCTTCTCACTTATTGCTTACCCCAGAGCATTGTAATAAATAAATTACATGTTTCATATTACAATTTAAAATGGATTTTGTATAACATTTTTTGCATGCAATTGTGCTTTTTAATTATTTTGTTTGTAATAATCTTTGAGCTTTAAATGCTTTGTACATATTGGAAGAGTGCAAATCCTTTGTTTAAAGTTTAATTAAAGTGCTTCTTTGTGCTGGTTTAGTGCATAATGTGGGCTCTTATACGTTTAAGATTTAGTGCTTTAAAAAATAAAAATAAAAATAAATGGTACATTCATTTACCCACTATCTCAAGATCTCAATTTTGTTTAAAATATTTTTTTTATCTCTAGTGTTGTGTATTAATCTTGTGTCCCTATTCTGGACGGTAACCTGCAGCAACAATGTAATACAATAATGAGATCTCCCCTGTCAGCTTGCCTGGTCCCACATGCTTTCCATGTTAAGATTAGTTTAGGACTCACCAATATAGGGGTACTGTCAAGAAAGCTTGTACTCTGACTACTCTATCTCTTTTGCATAGCCCGGCCATTCTAAGGACCGGTATTGCAATATCTTTGTGTCTGTGATCTGTCTGCGTGTTTAGGTTCTCCTGGTATTCGTGACACTATGGTTTAGAATAGAAAGCTATGCTATAAATCAAGGGTTATCAACCCAGTCCTCAAGGACCCCCTACCAGTGTGTTTAGAAAAAGAAGGAAGAAAACACCTTAGAGTCTAAGGTGTTTTTTTTCTCCTTTTTCTAAACACCTTAGACACACCCAGGTAATCCCTAAATCCTGGACTGGTAGGGGGTCCTTGAGGACTGGGTTTAGAACCCCTGCTATAAATAATAGGGATCCATCAAATATAATCTGGACTTGCCAGTCACATGAAAGGAAGATCTAAATATAAAGAAAAATATTTGTCCTTGATAGTACTATTTCATCATGGACCAAAATTAAAAGGACATAAGGTATAACCAACAAAATTTAAAGGTTTAATAAGATCAGAGTGTTACAATACAATCTTCAATAAATATAAATGGACCCTAGCAGGTATCACAAATATCAACAATTTCATTGAAGAGTATACCCTTAAATATTTTCAACAGTTTTATCAGGCTTATAATTTACGCAGAAGAGAGATTTTAAATTATATCAGAGTTAAGGGCTTTATAGATATTTATCTATGTAATAACAATTGCAACAAAATAAAAAATGGGGAAACATTTTTTAACATAATATCATGACAATAAAACACACAGAATGCAACCGTAAATAGAGAGCATGTATTACCTTACTGTACCTTAGAATGGCCGGGTTTAACGTGGTTAGCGAGAGAATAGTCAAGAAATAGCCAAAGTCTAGGAAAACCAGAGATCAGGATAACAATAAGGATAAACGAGAAAATGAGCCGAGTCAGGATGCAAGATAAGCAGAATACTCCAAATACAAGCCAAGTCAAAATACCAGTAAACACTATCAGGAAATACAATGGCACTAGAGGAAACAACAAATGAACCACAATAGGGCACTGAACAAAAGCAAAAGGTGCTCTATTTATAGGGGAGCGTCTTTTAATTTAAAACCATGCCCCCTATTGAATATTTAGAATTTTTGCAGCATTGCTGCTATGACGTTGGCATTCATGTGTCATGTCATAAAAAAGGGCGCGATTGCGGCGTCTGACAATCCGTGCCAAGGCTGAAAGGAGTTGGCAGTCAGAGTTCCCCTACTTGGGCACGCGGGAGCAAGGTAAGGTATCGTGACGCCTAAAGTCTTCTCGTAAAGTTTTTGCGAAATGCTCTGCACTATTTAAATACGAAAATAAAGATATAAGATGGTCATTGAAACTGAAAATCTACATTAACCCCTTAAGGACACAACTTCAGGAATAAAAGGGAATCACAACGGAATATTTCCATCATGTGTCCTTAAGGGGTTAAACATAAAGACTGGTTAAAAGCTATCAGATTACCTAATTTATTAATAGATTGTTTAAACATCAAGGAAGTCCAATTTAAATTGTGGTATAGATGGTACCTTGCTCCTTCTAAATTAGCAGATGTTGGAGATGTGGACGCAACGGAGGTACTACATTTGGTGAGAATGCGCACTAATTAAGACCCTATGGTTAATAGTCTTTGATAAATTAAAATTACTCACTAAACTGAATTTAGAAAAATGGCCCAGAACTACCCTCCTACATTTAAATTGGCATAATGTGTCTAATTCTGAAACTATGATAATTATTCATTTTTTTCAGCAGCAAGATATTAATAGCTAGACACTGGAAAGATTCTAATCCAATTACTTGGACTCAACTGAAATATCAGTTTACATACCAATTAAATATAGAAAGAGGTCTTAGATAGATTAGCTCAGCAACAATTTAAAAAAGTCTTCTTCAATACCAACATTCTAGATAACACACATACATGGAAAATATCCTATTGCGCAGATCTTTTGAATATCTATTTTTTTTCCCACTCGTCTTGACATTATTTATTAGAATTTAAATATAATTATTGTTATTCAGAAAATCTTAAGTATTTTTTTTCAGTTTTTGTTTGTGTGTCTAAATGTGTTTGTATTTGTTTAGTCATTAACAAAAAAGATTATTTCAAAATAAAAAATGAAATGCTATAGATTTCTTAAAAATTACACATCGAGAAGACCCTTTTCTTTAGTTAATGTCATATGTAAGAATTTCACCCAGTCTCCACTCATTCAAAAAATCATTGAAAACTCACTTTAAGAAAGCATATAAATTAAACTGTTAGCAGGTTTTTATCCCCCACCCCCACATGACTTCTTTCCTGCAACTGTTAAAAATTACCTACTAAGCCCTCAGTGAATACTTTTCTAACAACCTACTTCGTGCCCCTACTTTTACCCTTTGTGTCACTATACCCCACTCCCTCTAGAATGTAAGCTCATGGAGCAGGGCCTTTCACCCCTCTGTTCCTGTACGTCCAGTTGTCTGGTTACAATTACATGTCTGTTAGTCCACCCATTGTACAGCGCTACGAAATCTGATGGCGCTATATTAATAATATAATAATAATAATAATAATAATATTTGCTCTACCTTTTTTAGGTCAACAAAATCCATTGCCGTTTTTGAAAAATTACAATATTTATATTTGTCTAAAAAACACGTCTCTAGTAGCTGTTAGACTGACAC